CACATTGAGTGTTAAGGTGTTGTAATTTGTAGATGAAATTTGGGGTTGGTAAGCACGAATACAATCTCTATCTGCTGATACTGCAACTTTAATCTGGGGGGGAAAGAATGAAACAAGTCTCAGTGTACACAGCACATATTTCTGGAATATGTACTTAGCTTCTGACCAACAAATGCAAGCCGTTTGCTGAGATACTTTCATGCAATTTAAGTATTGCTACCTGGGTTAGACGTCAGCACTCTCGTAGGTATCACTTGACAAAGTGATTCACAAATAGAAAAGAATAAAAGCTGTCATAATTCACTCATTCAATTAGGAGATCTGAAGCCAGTAAATTAAACTATTCAAATACCTCAGAAAACAACATTTATCAGTAAAAGCTACCGTAATAATATCAGAAAATAAAGATACAGAAATTCAAAACCTTTTTTTAAAAAAAAAGCAAAAATAATTTCTAGTCTATGTTGAGAGAATTTTTTTTTTTTTTAAATTAAGAGGCAGACAGTCTGCAGTGATTCTGGTTATTTCAAAGTTTCACAACGCAGTTTACATGACTATTCAAAAAATACATTTGTGAATATATTGCAGGTTAAACTTTTTTAAAATTAAGTAAAGAAATTCATATTCCTTTTATCATACCACTAACTCCTTTGAACACTGTCTAGTATACTGATAGGATATCGATTCAAGGTAAATGCAGCCAAACTCCAAGAAGCATGGTAGTTCAATGACAGAAACCTCACTTTAACAACAGAAAAGCCTTAACTTCATCAACTTCATTGAATATGCCTGTAACAACTAAATACATAAAGCACATGTGCATATGTGTATGGACACAGATACATGAAGTTTCTCTCCTCTAGTAAAAGTTCACAAAAATACGAGAACAAACTGTCAAAATCGGGAAAGGGGATTTTGCTAATACTTCTTTTCACCCTGCCAGGAACCCCTATGGTTTATGACACTTCAGAAAATATTACTCCCTCTTTTCTGCAGTGGATTCATTAAGCTTCAGTGGACTGTGACAGAGAAGCAATAATCATATAATTAAGAAGATTTTCAGAAAGAACTAAAAGCCTTTTATTTTTTAAAACAAAACCTCCCTAAACCTTACAATAACATACCCATACTAAAGCCAAAAGCATATCAAAAAATTACTGAGTGCAGAGTCATTTTCATATTCCCCTCACAGTTTAACGAGGTCCATAGCACAGTTGATTCATTTTTGTTGTTTTTAAGGGGTGAGCAGAGATTTAAAAACAAGTATGTCTTTTGTGTTAAAGTGTTCTGGATGCACGGCAGCTTCTTGCTAAGAAGAACATGTAGACATGACACGGCATAGTTGGGAAATTTATCGATACAATCAACACCCTTGTTAAAAAATTTGTAATGATACTAGATGTTATATGGAGGCACCCAACACCAATCACTAAATTAAGATTAGAAATTAATATCTTGTCCTAAAAAGAATGGCAGCACCGTTCCCTCACTTCTTCTCACCAAAATATCTCTGTGATTTCTTGCTGACATATTGTATTTCATTATTTTTATAGGAATTAAATGGAAATAGTAAATAAATTGCTGCCTTGCTGTTCTGATAAACTCACAAATGCAATAAGAAACTTGAAGCTAAAATTATAAAATGTATCAACAGCCCTGCCAGTATGCTTTTAGCATTAGTCAGTATCTCTGACTTCAGTGAGACCCCAGAACCATCAGGTACTTTGACAGTAAATTTTAGGCTCTTTATCTCAAAGAATTTCTCTGCTAAAAGTGAAAGTGAAGCCAGGTAAGTCTGGGATGATAGAACTTACAGAAGCTGCCTGCTTGCGGGCCTGGCTGATGAGCTCTTTAATTTCAGACAAGTTTCTGCTCAGGTTCTCCTCTAGCATTTTCAAAGGTTTCAGCCTATCCAATAAAAGACTTGCTTGCGCTTCAACTTCTTTAACTTGTTTTTCAGCTGTGACTGCTGCCAAAACATAAATGAAATGGTGAGCCTGGTAGAAAGAGAAATGTACTGTTCATCGCTAAAATACTTAGCCAAGGTGGCCTGGTTTTGATCATTTTGTTTTCAGCAATTTTAAACATCAGTAAGCAACGTGCATAGTTAAGGGTATCCCATGTGACTCCTTTAGAGGTCTTTCAAAAAGTTAGCACATTTTTATTGAATTAGGAAGAAACTTTCAGTCTGTCAGACTCATATTTAATGCCTATTAAAACTGAATACTAGTATGGCTTCTGCAAGCAGTGACATTTCTGAAGAGCAATGAAGCAGCAAACTTACCAGCTTTTGATGAATCAGTTATAAGTTCACTAGTTTTCCTCAATGTGTCATTAACTCGGGACAATGTAGAAGAAGTATTCAGCAGCTTTTGATTGAAATCCCCAAAGTGACTTAAACCCACCACAGCACTGGTGTTTGCAGACATAGCCAGATCTTTCACCTCAAACATGTATTTCCTTGCATCTGAAACAACAGTTCCCAGGTTAAAAAAAATTCACAGCTTTCATACATACTTGGGAGTAGTAAATGCCTGGCTTCATCACAACACAGTTATATACATAGTCAAAACACTAGAAATGCTACCAGTTACATTCCTTTCATAGCAAGAGTTATATTTTTGTTTGTATTCTTCAGTTTGAGGGGAGCTCCAAACCAAGACCTACAGCAATATAACTTTGCTTAACTGTTGAATGTGCCATGGCTTACAGAGCGGGAGGTTTACCTTCCGTGAAACTGGAGTGCCAGGAGGCTGGGACAACTCCTCTTGCCCAGTTATTAAGTTGGAAAATGGCCACAGCTAGGCCCCTGAACAAAAAACACGGTAAATGTTCCCAAGCCAGTGAAACTGTTTCCCACAGCATTCTCCTAGAGAAATTGACTGCTCTTGGCTTTGCTGGGTGAAAAACTGGTTGGATGGCCGAGTCCAGAGAGTTGCGGTCAATGGAGTTCAATCCAGTTGGCAGCTGGTCACAAGTGGTGACCCCCAGGGCTCAGTACTGGGGCCAGTTCTGTTTAACATCTTTATCAATGAGTTGGATGAGGGGATGGAGTAAGTTTGCAGATGACATGAAGCTGGGTGGAAGTGTTGATCTGCTGGAGGGCAGGGAAGCTCTTCAGGGGGATCTGGACAGGCTGGATCACTGGGCCAAGGCCAATTCCACAAGTTTCAATAAGGCCAAGTGCTGGGTTCTGCACTTCAGTCACACCAAGCCCCAGCAGCCCTACAGCCTTGGGGAGGAGTGGTTGGAGAGCTGCCAGGCAGAGAGGGACCTGAGGGTGTTAATTCATGAGCCAGCAGTGTGCCCAGGTGGCCAAGGTGGCCAACAGCATCCTGGGCTGTGTCAGCAATGGGGTTGTCCGCAGGCTTTGGTGAGGCTGCACCTCGAGGACTGTGTCCAGTTTTGGGCCCCTCTCTACAAGAAGAACATTGAGGTGCTGGAGAGGGTACAGGGACGGGCTACCAAGCTAGTAAAGGGTTTGGAGCATGTCTCGTATGAGGAACAGCTGAGGGTTCTGGGGTTGTTCAGCCTGGAGAAGAGAAGGTTGAGGGGACACCTGATCGCTCTCTACAACTACCTGAAAGGGTTGGTCTCTTCTCCCTGGTAACAAGCGATAGAACAAGGGGAAATGGCCTCAAGCTGCACCAGGGGAGGTTCAGGCTGGATATGAGGAAGAATTTCTTTACTGAAAGGGTTGTCAGGCATTGGAACAGCCTGCCCAGGGAGATGGTGGAGTCACCATCCCTGGAGGTGTTTAAAGAGACGGGTAGATGTTGTACAGAGGGATGTGTTTTAGTGGTGTTGGTAGAGATAGGATAAAGGTTGGACTCCATGATCTTGACGGTCCCTTCCAACCAAAACTGTTCTATGATTCAGACACGGATATAGCTATAAATGTAGTTAAGTTCGTTCACAGACACAGGGGTACACAATAATAAAATATATTACACACATATATAAATAATAGAATTTGCAGTAATTTTAATCACTCAAGATTTTCAAGTCTTTTGATCAAAAGACTTCACTAATTCAAGTTTTGAATTCTAGGAAAAATGTTTTCTTTTTCATGACCAGCTCTGAATACAGTACAGACACAGGACGCAGTGACAGGGAACTTGATTCTGCCTATCCCAACAGGAAGATTATATGAATACATCAGAGTCATAGTGTTTAATGTTCTCACAGTGTTTAGTGTTGGCACCCAGAGTCACTAGTCCGAGACCTATGTTTTGAATCCTACAGAAAGCTGGTGAGGCAAGTCTATTACACCAGTTACTTTGGGCTACAATCACTTGTATAGTGAGTGCACAACTCCCAGTGTCAGCCTGCCCCGTACACCCCCTGTGCCCAGAATAGCATGAAGATGCTGCAGCTGGTACAAAAGGCCTGATTTAGGCCTTCAGGGACCTTTCTTCACCACCAGTACCCTATACAGAGGGCAACACCACCATGAAAATCTTCCCGGATTGGAAGAAAAAAAAAAAATTAAAAAAAAGAAAGAAAAAAGGGAGAGAGAGAAAACTTCAAGAAATGAACAACAAAACAGAAATCAACCAATGTTTAACAGTGAGTTAAGGAGGACAAGTCCTATGATTTTAATAATGCCTTAATTTTCAACATGTAGCTTTATGTTAGATAGTATTCTGCAATTAATATCCAGTGCAACTTTACCACTAATATCACCCTTCAGTGTGGGTTAAGAGCCTGAGTTGTAAAACGGGTATTTTAAAGCTTTGGACTTTGCATTCTAATCTGGACATACAGTACAACACAACCCAGGCAGGAGGTGTTTGTTTTCTACCTTAAAAAACCCCAAAACATTAAGGTTGGTAAAGTATTTCAGACCTTCTTATTCACAGCTTCAGAGATATTTTCTCTACTAGTTTCCATGAACTCTAGGTCTTGCCTGCATCCTAAATGATGACTTTTTTTGAAAAAAAAAAAAAATCAAAATTCTTTTGTTTTGGAAAAGCACAGAAAGAATGTTTTAATCAGTTAAATGAAGTCAGCATTTATAACAAGAAAACATTTAGATGCAGATGGTAAGATTAACAGGGCAGTATAAACAATTTTGAAACAAGCTGTCGAAAGAAAGCAAAACCTCACAGTTCCATCTCTCCATATGGGACTAAACAGGACTTCACTCTCTTCTCATATCAGTGTAATTATACAGCTTTCAAAGCCCTTCCTGATTTACAGGAGTGTGAAACGGGAATCAGACTACAGATCATCTATGATAACCCAGTTATGTTTCATGGGTATACTAAAAAAAAAAAAAGTGGAAAACATTCCTTGTACGGGAGGAGGCTAAATGAGTGTCCAGTATAGTTTCTTACTAGGTCTCTGCAATCAGACAATAAACAGGATTTTATTATAATTGTAATAAAACCAGACAGTTCTGTAATAAGGAGAACGTCAATATAAATTTCACTTACCATTAGGCAATGCTCTTAGTGTCAACAGGGAATCATTAAGCTGGTTGACAATTTTATTAGTACTTTTCTGAATCTTTTCTACCCTTTTGTTCAACCCATTCAATCCAAATAAAAGGTCTGTTGGAAGAAATAACTGTGATTTTTCCGTGCATAAACAAATACCATACAACCCACACAAACCCTATATGTAAGGATAACAAGCATTCAAATTATTTAATCAATGGAAGTTCTTTTGGTCTTTTAACAGAAAGAGCATTTTACAAACAGGAATGCAAAATGAATGCAGTATGCACAGATAAGCTCCTGTGGGCACTGTTCCATTCAAAGTTACCCTTTTTAGCCAATTTCATCAGACTGGATTGGTAGAAACATAGCCAGGAAAAGGCTATAAATGAAAGTTATTTCATGACTGTGAACTCTTATAATTTTTATGATGTTGTTCTCTTTTTGTGATACCTGGCAGGAGCCAAAGAAGTGTTTTTCTCTTATTTATTTGGGATCTGTTTGCAGAATCCTCTCACTAGAAATATGTAGAACAGAAAGAACAAAAAAGGTATGTATTCTGTCCATCTTAATTACATAAAATGTGTAGATACATATTTGTAAAGCCACTTATATTAAAAGCAAAGACTATTTTACAGTTACAGTTTATCTCTGTGAAACATTCACTTTCTGTTCAATTTTGTCCAAAATTTCCCTTAGGGCCAGCCTCTGCTCCTATAAAGTCTGTGTTCAAAATGCTTTTGAATTTCCATGGTTCAGACTTCAATGCCTTGATGATATCTTTGGAATAATAAGAAAACAAAAGGATTTTGGAATTTATAGGAGGGACTCTGAGCCAAAAGGCACTTTGTACAGACAAAAAAAGTTCAGCTTGTTACTGCATTTTGGCTGTGTAGAAGTAACAAGTAAAAATGATTACAATTCAAATATACCATCCTACATACTTGTGTGATCCATGATTTATTAGATAAAATTGGATAAAAGGATTTCTTCAAGAATTATGTTTGTTCTTCATCTACTGTACAATCTCCAATGATTTAATTCATAAAATTTTGAAAAACATTTAAAGAAAGTATTGCTTGGAGATAAATGAGGTATAGTGAAGGCCATTTTTTTTACATGTTTACAGAGAGAAATTACGTTCTTACCCAAAGAAGTAAAATACCACATGACTCCACAATACATCAACCTAAATTGTATGAAAATATACATAGTCATGTATACTCATGCAGTATTTTTTCTTTTTTTTGCTTTTAGATGAGCATAAACTAAGTTAACAAAAAACCCACAAACAAAAACACACAGAAAAAAAACACATTAAAAAAACCCACCACAAAGCAGAGTATAGAAAAAGAAATAGAAGCAGAAGTGTGAACTCCAAAGAACTGACCATCACTTTTTTTCTTCACATTTTTAGCTTCGTTCTGAAATTTGGAGCTAAGCAGTAGAGTTTCTTTTCCAAGAACACCAAGAGACTCCTCTGGCTGAAAAACACAGACTTCACTTGCCACATATGAAAACCAGAAATTCAACTGAAAACACTTAAGTATCTGCAGATGTCTACTTCAAGTTACTGAACATTCTTGTTATTTATGAGATGTCCTATTTATTTACCTTATTAAGCATCAATTTTTTTAAAAAATACAAGTTGCAATTGTTTGTCCAAGAATGTGACATTGAATCTGTTTGTAAGTTAATAAAAAAAGATGACTGTGAAACAAAACCAGAGGGACAGGTCAAATACGGAGATGGTTGAATAATTCCAAAGGTTCCGGGAGCACCAGAGGTTTGGGAACTTAAGTTCTACAGGAATGGATGTCAGATGACTGATGTAAACACTCATACAGAATCAAGTCCAGCCCAGCTAACCATGCATTAGACATTAAAAAAAAAACCTCAACAAACAAAAACAAACAAACAAACAAAATCACCCTGGTAAAATGGTACCATGGCAGACAGAACAGTGAGGTAAACAGAATGAAATCTGGAGCCACAACTTCCTTGGAGTACAGATTCAGGATACAGTATATACTGGTTGGTAGGCCAGGCTGCCATACATACCTCCATCAAGAAGACTCAAATTTCAGCGAGTACAAAAACAATTACAACAAATATTCCAAAATGAGAAAGGGAAAAATGCTAACTAAAACACTAATATTGGTACTTACTAAATACAAGGGGCCATTCACAACTCTAGATGCATCATCTGCCAAACTCTCTGTTCTTTCAATCACACTTTTGACACTGGAGTGGGCGTAGACAGCAGCAGTTGTGTTCAGAGTCACATTTCTTACTTTAGAGAGGCCACTAAATAGAGAATTAACAAGTAATTCTGTTTTCATAGGCATATCTTAATCAAGCAGTAAGTTCCATGTCTTCAGCCACGACACGTACATCTTTCAAGAATACATGATGCACTCTGAAAAAAATGAGCACACCTTGCCCTGTGGTGCATAAGGGGCTTTAAGTTCATTTATTTTGAACTGAAAAAATCAGTTCAAAGAAGGTTGGGGGGTTTTTCCCCCCCTATTTTGTTCTTTGTTGTTCTGTTTTGTTCCTTTTCACCTATTTTTTTCTATTTTGTTCATTTTTGTTCCTGGTCAAGGTTTTCATTTTATAAAGCCACTTAGTCACTTAGAACAAACAAATCACACCGCTTAAACAGAACAGAAACAGGTTCCTACCTGGAGCTCAAAGGCAAAGTGGAGAAATACAGAATACAGCAGGAAATTATAAGCATCTGAAAGCTATTCTGTATTTAATTTTGCTTTATTGAACTTATTTGTCTGCAGTGAAGTTAGAGTTACTCAGTGTTACTCAAAGCAAAATTTTCTGCTCTTAAACTTAAAATGTTACTTTTCTAATCTGAAATGATTTAGCATTTAACACATACCTGCTGACTTTAAAAGACAAAACAGCATGAATGCTAGAAGGATTCCTGAGATAGAAGGTTAATTTTTCCATTGAATTAACTGGAATGACTTCCCAATTTTGAAATTGTAAGAGTGAATTTGAGTGGATTTCAGATTGCAACCCACTCATTTCTGCAAGATGCTTTGAAAGCAACAATAATGGAGGCATAGTAGGAATAGTTTCTTCATGAGATTCAGAAATACATTGTCAAGAAATAAATATTCAAACACAGGCCAGAAGCTTTTCAAGCCATACCATGATGTACTGACTGGGCATTTAATAATTCACTAGTTACTGTGTAAGTCCGCCACACGAAGTTCGAGACTAATCAATACACTCCACGTCATTTAATAAAGGTACACTGCATTAAAAGTAGAAAGCACTTCAAATGAAATAGGTAATAAAAATTGATCATAGAATCACAGCACAATTTGTGTCAGAAGAGACCTTTAAAGATCATCTAGTCCAACTGCCATGCCACGGGCAGGTCATTCCTTCAGTGGATTAAGCTATTCCTATTTAAATTAAATCTGACACATCTGTAAATCAATCCCGATTTCGTATTTCTTGAGTTTCTCACCTCTCTAGTGCATCTGCAAGTCTTTGAAACTGGGTGGCATGCTCCTCAGCTCTGTATACCAGGTCAAGCACTCCTCTCACAGACATCTGCATCACCAGTTCATCCACGTGGTGTCGCAGTTTGGTGCTCCATAGGACTAACCCATCCTGGTGGACCTCCAGGTTCTGCACAACAAAATGGTTTCCTCTTTTTTTTTCAATAGCAAAATACACCTGATATAACATGTCCAAGAGAACGTTAAAACTTAAGAACTTACAGATGTAGAGTTCTTTACATCTTGGGCAAGAGCAGCAGCAGCATTTACTAGGACCTCCCCTTCTTTAATGAGTGCGGTCGAGACTTCTTCACCTTCCTTTATATTTAGCTTTTTGTCCTGTAGCATAAATCAAGTGTTTGACATGTGAAGTCAGCTAGTGCAGTTGAGTTCACATAACATATAACCATTTTTTGTTTTCAAACACGGTCTGGTTTCCTTTAAATTTTTAAGGGATCACATATATTAACACATTTAAACATGTACAATCTTATTAAAGTCTAAAAAGCAGCTTTTAAACACAATTTCATATTTGGTAATTCTTATGTAACAACATCATTGTCCAGCCTTACATTTAACTCTGCCAGGTTGCTAGAGATAAGAGGAAACAAGCGATTGGTCTCATTGACGTTAGCGAGTGCCTCATTCGCCAGATCCTGGACATCTTGCAGTCTGCTGTTGTGCTTTGACAAGAGCTGGCTTGCATCCTTTTTTAGTTCAGCAAGCTCCTCCTGGGGTTTAAGATACTCTTTCTGAACCTGGATCAACAAATTTTCTGCAGCTCTGACAAAGAGAGGAATCAGAAAATAAATAAATGGCAAAGGAGATACTTAGACATGGATTTCTTCAGGAGAAAACGTGGTCATGTGAAATTAATTTAAATGCATCTTCTTACTAAAGCCTGCATTTTTTTTCTAGAATAGTATACATACACATGGTAGCTTACGTTGCTTGTCTTACCACACAAAGATGACTGCCTCGGGGAGAGGGCAGTCATACAGTTCATGAACTTTGTGGTGACTAGAGGGAAAAGGGGTTAGTACAAATCTCGTTTGCTTGGACTTAATTTGGGATATCCTCCACAGCAAAATCTTTGTGAAACATTCCTCTGGGACTGCTCTACATCTTAATTGCAGTGATTCATATTTTGAATGTAGGATCAAAACATCAGTTATGAGGACTGACACTGGAAAGAAACAAGTAACCAGAACTGAGAGACATATACCCAAGAGCCCTGAAATGTTTAACTATCAAACAAAAATAAATAGCCTAATTAAAATGAACACTGAAAGGAGCAATCTCTGCACTTATCTTTTTCAGTAAGTAACAGACATGATCTGGGAAATATCAAATCCTCCCAAATTTGCCAGTTATTAATTGCTTCAGCTGTTCTAGTTGGGAATATTTGTATCTCCATTTGAACGCTTTCCAGTATTGAAGGAATTGAACTGAAAAATGATCCTGAAAGTCTATTCCTTCGTTTCTCTTCATTTCAACACATACACTGCACACTGCAACTCCTGTAATGATACTTTTACATAAACGTTTGTCCCTTTTAATCTGATTTCAAATCATACAGATCATTAGCCAAAGCAAAAGAAACCTAGTTTATTTCACAATTATACACAGCAAAACACATTCCACCTTCCTTACTGAATAGCAGATGTGCATTTGCATCTATTCAGCAATTCAGAGTCTTTATGCTGAGAAGCCATAGCCTTAAAAACGTTACAAGAATGAAAGTCTTTTTTTTACAAGACAGTAATGGCTTCTATTTCAGGTAGAGTAAAAACCAGTTATATTTCAAATTGTTTGGGAACCTTCCTGTACATGGCAAATGTGTGGAGACCTCAGTTATGAATGTTGCTTAACAGTATGTCATCACAAGCTCAGTCCACTGTGAGCCATGTGGTAACTTCTGCTCCCTGAAAAATGGGCTGGCAAGCAGCTTATTTAAGCCAGCTTTGAATTTACAGCTGCATTGCATGATAAATGCTGCAGAGCAAACAATCTTATAAATCTTATTAACTCTCTTCTTTGATCTGTCAAAGGACACTTATCAGAAAACTTTCAGAAATTTCAACAGAGCCTATAACTGAAAAAGTTAATTTATAAATGCCTTGTGTAACAGCTCAAACACTGATGTGGAAAGTCAGAACGCTGTTACTACGCAACAGGACATTTTGAGACATTTTTGTAAGTGCAAAAAAAGCTATCTGAAGTTCGTGATAAATATAAGAATAAATGGTACATTTCTAGTCCATTTTCATGTCCATTTAGCTTCTATACAGTTTAACATTCAGCACAAGGACAAGCACAGGAGTCTGTTGAACAAAATCAGACATGCTACCAATACATTCTATCCTGCCTAATCCAAAGCACTTCATAAAGAAAAGCCAAATTTCCAGAAACATTCCACACTGGTCTAAACCTTTGATCCTTGAAGCCAGTGTTAATATTCTTTCAGCTTTTGGTGGGCTAGGGCAATACTTAGTATTTCTGAAGCTGGAACAAAAATTTTGCTGACTGTTGGAACAGTCAATGTTTTATATTGCCAAGTCTGGCCATAAGCACTAATAATGAGTATAAAAGCAGTTTTAAAATAGCCTTTAACTGGGGATAAATCAAGGCAACGGAACACAATCTTTTGCCAAGTCTGGCCATAAGCACTAATAATGAATATAAAAGTCGTTTTAAAATAGCCTTTAACTGGGATAAATCAAGGCAATGGAACACAATCTTAAAACAGTGGCTCAGAATGCTGAAACAAATGCCTCGGTCTCATTTGCAAATCCGTGCGATACATATTCCGGTGACAATAAATAGTCACGTCCTTCAGCAGATCTGACATGCCATGGGCTTGCAATTGACTGAGACAGTTCTATGACATCTCCCAGACAAAAGCAACAAGGAGCCAGATCTGATACAAACTGAAAGCAGTGAGCTTTTTTTGCTTATTGCAAGGGTATTTTGTATCACATCCAAACAAACAGGTTTTGGCTATATTAGTACCATGTGGGATGCCCAACTATCTTCAAATCATGTAACTCCAAATTCAGAGTTCATATAGCTCCACCTGGCCGAGTTATCCATCACACTGCCTCTTATTATGGCATGTTTCTCCAGATACCTCTCCGAAAAGCAGTAATGCATAGTACAGACATACGTGAAATAAAGTTTTCAGAAGAACAGGCTTACTTCAGGACACTGCTAGCATTATGGTGCTGTTGAGCAAAATCTTTCTTGCGCAGTGCATCCAAAAGGGCAGAAATATCGTCCTGCAGGCTCTGAGATGTAGCATTTGACAGCGGGAGGTGCAGGCCCAGTGTTTCATTTAGCGACATAGCAACTTCAGCAAGTACTAAGTAGGAGAGTAAACAATTTAGGCATACCATTAAAAAAAGAATATATGTGAACCCCCTGTGCAAACTGCAGCACTTTCCATGTAAATAGCTCTTTAAGAGCTGTAAAGGAAATAACCTTCTAAATTCTCTTCAGTGGAAATATCTTAAAAGCAGGATACCTTTGATGGTTGCATGTACTGTGTCAATAAATCCAGTCAGCTCTTGACTTTTATTCCTGGTTTCCTGAGTCACAGTGTTAAGCTTCCAAGCTTTTTTCAAAAATCTAGATGACTAGAATAAAATCAGAGACATTCTTTGACAGTTCTCCTGAACACTGATTAATTCATGACATTTGTCTATGATTTTTACAGTTTCTTCCCCAATTTTGAGAATACTTTGAGAGAGGAAACAATGTTTTTTGTTAAGATAGACCTATCTGATTCATAAATCTCTGATTCTTCCATGCATGCCAATGTCTTCTTTATATTGAAATTTCCAGCCTCTGATACCAGTGAAGAATTGTGTTATCAATTTTCATAATCAATAAGATCATAATTACAAAAGTATTTCTTTAACAAAATAAACATTACATTTTTTTCAGCTACAACTAATGTATCTTAAAAAAAAAAATCACTCTTCTGGACACATCACTATTAGCAATAACAACACTGTTAGTGCAAGCACCTAGTTAGATTTCATGTATGTGGTCAGAAAATCATATACACATATGGTCAGCAAATGAGATCTAATGGCTGAAGCACTATTGTCAATTTTCTACCTACAATTTTTCTTGTGTTAAAACTAAATAAAGAATACAAATGTTGTCTACTTTTCGTGTGGATTTCCAACAGATTTATTTCTGCTGAGACCATTTTAAACACAATACTACAGGCATCAAAGGCTTTTTGGTGAATATTCAGCTATGACATAATTTTGAGTAAGCTCCATGTGTTAAAAATCAGTCAGAAGAAAATATCTCCCTTTCTCCAGTTTTAGGGCCTTAAGTGATCACAGTACAAAAAGTTTCTGAACGTTAATAGAAACCATGCAAATTTCCTGTACAATATCATAAAACACCATATTTGCAGAAGAATTCTACCGACTAATTAATTCCCCTCCTCAGAAAGACTACAGAATGGACTGAATTCTTTCATTGAACTCTATAGATTTAAAGTAGTATCTAAACAGCTCTATGGCATTTTATGTGCCATGCTATGAATTCTCAAAGGATTTCTCCGGAAAGGCTAAGAATAAAGAAGCCAGCACCTACCTCTTCATGCAGCTGATCAATTCCTCCTGACAAACTCAGAAGAGTTTCTTTTGCTGTAGTTAGTGAGTAAGTTGGATCTTCTCTAGGAACTATAGACCCCTGTAAGAAACAAGAAGAAACAGCATGCTGGAATTTAAAAGCTGTGTGTCTAGAAAAGTTCTGGGAAGAAAATAACTATGCACATTATTTAGGTTATTTATATGTTTTAAATGACTGATTTGCAAAGCACGTAAGATGACAAAGTAATTACATACATACAGTTCACGTGAAGTGTGTCATTTCTTTAATTAAGGAAACAAGGATCCAGCCATGTTGTACTTTCAGTCAAGTAATAAGAAGCAAGCATTATTTCTGCTTTCCTGATTCTCAATTTCACCACAGTCTGAGCTGCCCAAATAAGCTACTTTGAGAAGTTCCAAGGTCCACCAAACTAAATGCTTCCATGCAGTCCCACAGCTGCTACTGTTGTCAGAACAGCTGCATCTAGGGTGTATCTGTAAGGATGACCCCAGAGAGCTCTATGCTTCCATGTCAAAACCCAGCGCATGGCACTCAGGAGTTCAGGATTTTGGCCCTCCAGACACAACAAGGTAACACAAGAAGCCCTGCAGATCCTCTCGCCAATAAGAGAGAGAATAATATGCTGTATTCGGCTTCAAGGTAATCTCAAAACAGCTCTATATGGCAATAAATAGGCCATTGAACCCAAATGTATCGTATTTGATACAGTCAAGGCCTGCAACCGAATACCACTTCTCTAAAGACACAAAGAAACTTAAGGCACCTCTTAAAAAGACACTAAGTCTGGGAAAGGTTATTTTTAGATTTCAGATGTTTCGGGGCCAACAATTATAAATACCACAGTATCATTTTGCCAACTTTTTAAAGAAGTAAATACACAGGATTATCCAACAGCCTTGTGTCAAATGGAAGTTTCAAAGTCTTTTCCTCAGCATGAGGAAAGGACAAGTGAAAGAAAAACAGAAGCTGAAGCTCTTGACCCTCCTGGGACAAAGCACAGCAAGGTTTCTTTAAAAGTCCAGTTCAAAAACCCAGAATGGGACAGCAAGTATGTCTAGGTATGTCAGAAGGAGCAAAGCAGGAGGCTTTAACTAGAAAAACAGAACTACTTAGGTCCTTAGATGGACTGGAGATGCAGAAGCAATGAGGAGTAGAAATCTGACTTGGTAATTTTCTCATTATGGAAAGACCCTCACCTAATACATAGAAAAGAGGAAATACTCGAGCGCCTGAGCGACCAGCATGAGGCAAAGAGACAATACAGTGCAGGGGACAGCCCTTCAGGGAAGATCTGTAATTCACATAAACTTGGGGATTTTCTGGCTTCCAGCTACAGTTCCTTTGGAACAAGGCAAAAGGGACGGTAATCTTTGATTAGCCAGAAAGAGAGGAATACCTGCTTCCAAAAAGAGAAAAGTTATGAGAAAACTTACCCTCAAGATTAAGTTGTTTAAAGACCATTGTGGCCTTACATAAACAGAAAACACAAGAGGTTTTATATTACTTTTAGCATCCCACTTCCAAGAGTGACAGATGGCTTTGATTTGATTTTAATATATAAAAAAAGGATGTACTAAAGGAGAAACTTAACTGCTTTTATTTTTACAAAAGATTTGATTGTTATGTAATTAAAGCGCTACATATTGAATAACGTTTATAGTCCCAGAAGATGATGCTCCTATACCAACACAAAACAGAAATCAGGTCAATTGTATCTTTCAAGTATTACAATAATTCAGTATGTTTATGCCTTATGACAGAAAAGAAGGGAAGGATAACTGAAGCATTATAACTACAAGGTTAGCAACTAAAACTAAAGGATAAGAGTATTTCTGCTGAAGCATAAACGTGTAATTCAATCAACTTTGCCTTCAGATATTGTAATTCTAAACATTTTAAAGTGCATTGATTGGAATTCAGTCTGCCTTACATCTTAAATAGGAGAAATTTTAATTCAAACGCTTAATTTGCTGAATTCAGCAGAACAAGAAGGCTCATGTTATTTCGATTTTGTGATGCAATGGAACACAAAGAACATAGCTTTGTTCATCTTGGAGCTTGTTTTGCTTGAGACATTGCTGAGCAGACTCTTATCAATAAATGTACATATTTTTGTGGTCATGAAGTAGGGAGGATTCTGTTTATCTCTGGCTTTGTGCAGAGACCACATGAACTTAATCAATCCTCAGCATAATAAATAACCTTCTAGAACAACAAAATGTGGTATTTCATGCTTTGTTTAAGGGAGAGAGGAGCTGGAAGGAAAGTTTGCCACAAGCAGCCTGAAAGTGTCCAACACAAACATTCTACCTGGCTCTTCTGTCCTGAGATGGAGGACACAGTAAGGCACCTGGACTGCCACGCAACCAAAAGGAAAGCAAACGGCTGCATCCCAGGCACCCTGGCTAATGGAGAAGCAGCCTACCACTCTAGGGGAGTCCTAAGGCACTCTAGGAGAACAGCCTTGAGATCTATGCCTTGGCAGCTCTTTAGCAAAGGGACCAAAAAGGGAAAAGACCTGCCCTGATGTTTCTGGTTTTGCTGCTGAAAATGACTCCCTTTGCTTTCAGTGGGTCTGGGCCAGTCTCGGGGATGCACGTAATCAAGATGAACCACGTGCACAGAGCACATTCAGAAATCACAGCGCTGATGGAAAAATATTTTCATCCCTTTATTTAAACGCTAGTACAACAAATGAAAAGAAAGTAATGCAGACAGCTGGATAATTTCTATACCAAACGCAATGGTCTCAACCTGGTATCACTTACACATACACACATTCAAGCCTTGAATTTCCGAAGGGCTTCTGCTAAATTACTGGCACATGTGAGTGGCTGCAAGTTTTACTCTAAAGGTGTGACTAAGAATTCCTACTATTTGTGCATTCATTTTACCTTCAGATGTTTTGTTGCATTCTCCAACTCTGCCAATATCCCATAGGGCACACGGGCAACACCAGTGAGGTTCATCGAAAGCATGGCCTTGTTGAGATGATCCAAACTGTTTAACAAAACTCCTGTGCAGTTGTCATCACAAGCTAAATAAACCATTTTAACAGGAGGAAGAAACAGTAGTAGTAAAAAAGAAGCCACCAAATAGACATATACCATACACAGTATATGCCTTCACCTTTTGAGTTAAGAATGATTAAGTATAACAATTTTGAATACACAGATTGCCCTCCCTTCCTGCCCCAAGAGTGGACCTATTCCAAACATACTCTCCTTAGGTTAGCACACATTCAAGCCTTATTGGTCCTGCTGGCTCTTGAGCTGCTTGCTGTATTATAAGCTTATTGAGTCTGTTTAGCTACATTGCTATAAATCCAGGGTGATGCCACTGACACTCACTCAAACAGGTTAGGAGACAGGAAATTCAAGCTTATAGTGGTGTAATGCCAGTTATTCCTTGGTTTTGTTTTGGTTTTTTTACTTATACAAAGTAAAATCTGAGTCCTAAACCACAGTTTATTGCAAAAGCAGATCACTGCACTTGCTATGCCCTTCTGCTATCCACCCTCTCATAAGGAACTACCTAACGAATTATTGGTGGAATATGACTATTTATTGGTGAAGAATGCCTACATACCTGGGATAATACCAAAAGTATTATTACAGCGACCTCGCATCCAAAGGGTCAATGACAGAGGAATTCAACATTTTCAAATAAAGTTATGCTACAGACAGCAAAAAAGTATTAAAATTATCTTTCCTTAAACTTGTCCGTAACACTAAACAAGCCGTTTTAAAAGTTAATCGCTTGTCTCATATTATGATCTCTATTGCAGTTTCCTCTGTGTTCACAGAATGGTTGAGGTTGAAATGGACCTCTGGAGATTATCTACTCCAACCCCCTCCTGTTTTACAGAGATATTAAGTTGTTAAGATTTCTTTCCTTTCATAGAAAGAATAAGGCCTGACATCATAAAAACATTCAAGGAATAATCATGTGTATATAAATATCACTGGAACAGACAGACCAAAGTCCGTTGGGAAAGTAAACAATTTAAAAACACCTACAAACGCACTCGTCTTCCACAAGAAGATGTCTTGGTTCACACTCCTCACAGAGCTGTCCTGTCACACCTTGCTTACAGAGGCACTGGCCAGTTGCACGATCACAATTAACATGAACAGAGCCACTGGGATTGCACCGACATGGATGGCAGCTGCCACCGGGAAGCTGAGGCTCACCATAATAGCCAAGGGAGCACCTACACAGGGAAGAATGAGACACTGAACATCAGGGGATATTCATTATGAAATCAGATGTTATATTTATCTCCGAAAATCACTGTTAGGTTTTTAATTAACAGCTTCTTAAGAGTAACTTACAAATCACTAAGTCCTTGAGCACTCATTCATATATTTATGAACACTGAACAACCCATTCTGAGCACAAATATGGTTCGCATTAATATGTCTTGGGAGTTGGGGATAAATGGGGACATCATGTGTAACTCACCTTTCACAGTACTGTCCTTCATATCCTGGGAGACAAGCATCACACTGGTAATCCTGAACACCTTTCAGGACACAAGTGGGACTAAAACTGGAGGAAAGATAAACAAATACCTGCTAGCACATAAATAGAAGACTTTACAGACAGAGAACACCTTCAGCCACAAGTTAAATATTGTAAGCAATAGCATCCTTTGCTCAACCTGATACAGTGCTCTAGAATTTGTACTTTAAATTATTTGTTTCTTAAAAAGTTTGCTTTCCCAATACAAGTCCATTACTGCTCAATATGCTAAAGCACCGTATGGCCTTCCTTTTAAAAGACAGGACAAAGAAAAAGGGATGCTGCATGATACATCTATAGTATATATCTAACAGACTTGCACAAGAACACCAGAGTTGCTAGACTCTTATTCTGATTCAATTATCCAAAAGCAAATAACAAATACGCTTTTCAAGCTTCTGAAGACAAAACAGCCTGCGCAGCATTTTGATTTTCAAAATATGAAGTTAACTGTTCCTCTACCAAACAGACAGATGTATAAATTTCAAACAAAAGAGTACTTGTTCTTCCCCTAAGACTGATCTCATGTTAAGTTCCTGCACTGACTGGAGACAGCCTGAAACTTTGTAAATAAAAAAGCACTGCTTTTCGAATGAAAACAGACACACATTTGAAACTAAAACTTATCAGAGCAACTTATTCCATTATCTATAACACATTCTATGCGGCTGATCTACTCTTAAGAGAAAAATTGGCTTATCTATCAGTTAATCTTTTTATTTTAAAACCTCACAGAGTTACCACTAGCTGTGAACAACTCAGAATGTAATCTCCATTTACTAAAATAGGTAGCTTTCAAATGTCTAAAAATTAAGGACATGTAATGATAACTAACTCCTGTTGCTATAGCATGGGGGCAGTAGGAGGTGGACATGCAGCACAAGAAATCCAGAACACTACAATATACATTGGATTCAGTAAGTTCTGGTTACCTAACAGGGTTGGCTCTGGGACAGGCACAAAGAGAGCAGTCGTTGACAGATCCAAGTACTTTCCCATAGTAGCCTGGGGCACAAGCACTGCAGTAATCACCAACTGTGTTATCTCTGCAGTTCTGATACACAAAAAGGAATTTGGACAGTTTAAACCAACAACAAACAACACGAGGAACTTTCCCCCCCCCACCCCCCAATCAATAAATGCATACAGTTTCCAACAATCGTCTCTAAATGTCACTACCCATGGGTCAGCATTCTCTGAGCGGAGGAACTCTTTATGCAAAAATAAGCAGAATTCCTGCATATTTTGTCTTCTGTGAATGCCTCCTCAGGCAGGCTGACCTAATTTCTCTTCTAAGTTTCCATTAAGGTTTATATGTTTCTGCTTCTATTAATCCAATTCAGGCTGGGAAATCACAGTACAAAGCAAAAATCCCCCCCCCCAAAAAAAAAACCAACTGATAGAAATATTAAAGAGGATACCTGGACGAAAAAATGTAAGATTCAATGTTTCAGCAAATGCATTTGAACACTCTAAAGCAAGGACCATCCACAGTCAGGATTCACAGACACTATGTTTAATTTGTCAACAGTACTGACCAACAGCCAGTGCTACCACAACACTAAATCGGTATTATAAACATAATTTAACTGACTGATCCTTTAAGTGAATAAAATTCTGTTTCTCCTTTTTTTTTTCCTTTTTTTTTTTTTTTTTTTCCAATTCATATCCTTGTGAGTGTGTATATGTTAGAGGTCACCTGAAGACAGTAAGCAGTGGCAATGCAGCCTCCTATTGTATGGGAGCAGAAGTCAGAGGTAAAACCATCTCTTTTGCCTACACTACTCAGCTGAAGATGTCTAAGCAGTAATCTCAACTCACAGGTGACTTGCCACCCCTGCAACAAGAAGCTGAGAGGAAGAATGACCAGTAGTCACTAGCACAAGAGAAATATGTGTTTTGGCCTTGTAGAAGTGAGAACCATAGCTCTTACTCATGAGATGTTTTCAGATTTGTCCTAAAGTACGTAAAAGAATAGTTTACAGAAGCCTAAAGGACTAAGGGAATTCACTTTAAAAACTGACTTCAAGAATGAATTCAGCAGAAGCTGACTTTGAACTAACCAACTCACCATTGGAAACACAAAGCAACTGAAAAAGCTTTAGGAAAGAATATTGAGTCATAGCAGAGAACAGACTTATTGTGCCTTATTTGGTTAGTTGAGAATTTGGTCTCCACAGGGCTGTCAGCCCACAAGAGAGAGGCAATGTGTTAGTCAGATGTAGCCTCTCTTTGCAACCTTCAGGATAAAATGAGAGAAGCAAGCAAATTAACTTAGCTGAGGCATATCCTTATATCACTTTAGTTTCTGGGAGTTAAAGAAGCCTCACTTAAAGCTGCTCAGAAGATTCTCTTCCTGAGAGAGAAAGAATTTGACTTTGATCTAGTCTGTGGTGTGATATGACTTATCACTTCCTTTACTACCTTTTTGTGTGACTGAGCAGACCTTGGCCAGACCAAGGACAGAAGCCTAAAAAGTCTCACAGAAAAACAGATAAAACTAAACTGATTTATGAGTAATTTGTAAAGTGAAATTAAAACTAAAATAATCAATGATTTTTACGAAGTTAGTGTCCAAAAAGCTTGACGATTTTACTGAATGGACCCTAAGGGAAATACTACTCAGATTTTCCATTTTTTAGATTGGAAATTATACATTATCCAAATAGTACAGCCATATACTTCTCCCAGAAATGCCTTCCATAGGTTACTGCCATCGCATGCTCAAACAAAACCAACAGAAAAATGAATAAATTGTACATACCAAGCACTTTCCAGTTTCAGGATCACAGGTTTCACTGTGGTTGTTGCACTGACATGGCACACAAGGTGTCATCAGAGCGTGAGGCTCTTTTACACTGAGTTCTGTGTGCTTTCCCCTGTAGTATCCCGGAGCACAGCTCTATTTGTGAGGGGAGTAAAATAAAAAAATATAGGATCACAGCTACCAACAGTTACAACCAATTTTAAAAAATATTTAAATAATTTTTTTATTATCTCACTATTAGGCATACAAAAAGGATTCAAGGCTGCTGTACCTGACAGGACAATCCAGCATAACCAGCAGGACACCTACATTGCTCTACAAGATGAGCTTTAGCTCTGCCTAGATGCATTTCTTCAAACTTCACAGCAGTTTCCATTGAGATATTTGCAATTCTACAAGATATATGCAGAAGACAGTATGAACATCTAGAGAAGTCCTAGCACCAAAACTGAGATCCAAACATTTTTATGCTTTGAGGTCAGGGCTACATAATCTCCCATGATCCCCCTTTCCCCGTGCAAATAAATATCCCAATACAATCCGAGGATTCTTTACTTATTTATGGGATTTCAGGACCTATAACAAACAAATCGGAAGGACATCAGAGTAATATAGGTTGACTCCCATTGGTCTGCAAAACTTGACAAACCCACCACACAAGAGTATGTACTTCTCCCTCAGAAACATTAGATAGAAATACATCTGGTTTGTCCCACAAAAAGATATTTGAGGGCACATGAATCAAAAATAATCCCAAATCTGAAGGTGGAACCACACTTCACAGCTGTGAAGATGTACCAGTATTGGGCTTTCATTGGATGCATCTCTGCTTGTCTTGTTAGTTTCCAAACTGACAGATGCAACAACCATATCCCATCTCCTCCCTCTCATTAGTAACCTAGTTCTGTTCAAAATGCAATAAAATGCTACCATTCTGAGGTGGGAATACTTTACTTTCACTGTCCAGATTAAGCAGCAGAGACATTTATTGTTTTACAGAAAGAATTACAGAGGTATTCTGCTGCTATTAAAGGTCAAATGTTTTCTTATCAGAGGAAGAACAGAAGTCCTAAATAGGAAATTGGAAATTTCTCTAATTGAAGTTCAGTCTTTACTGTATAGCTCAGTTGGGACTATTTCTAGGTTAAATTACAGTAAATGCAATATGTTAAGTAAGTGCAATCAGAGATTGCTTTACCTGCTTTGCTGTAATCCTTGGCCATAAGCTGCCTTGATAAGGATGTATTCAACATTGCTTAGCACAGACATGAAGTCGGAACGTAAGACAGGCTTGTCAGACACAGAGTTAAAATACTTCCAAGAATCCTAGGGAAACATACACATATTACTAAAACCATAAGTGTTCAAACTCACTTCAAGGCAATGCTCTGTTCCTCCTTACGTGTTTTCAGAAATGCAGTCATAGTGTCTATGTCTAAACTCTAGAAAACCCAAAAATCTTTCTCCATGTTAGAACAAGACACAGTTTTGTATCACTTCTCCTCTGCACTCAAATTCCATGACCAGTTTCTACAGGAAAGCACTCAGACCTGCACGGCGCAGCTTCTTCTAGCTAGATCTGGAGAACCCAGACAGCCGAAAGACCAGGACTTCACAGCACTCCTTTTATGTCCAGTTAGAAACAGCTGCTGTAACTGGGTCCTGCCTCCTGTCAAGAAGAGCCACTAGACCTCACCTAAGCCCCAGTCAGCAGAGAGTTCCAGAGACCAGAGGAATTCATTGTTATCTCCTCTGAAATTGTCCGCTGGGCACGACCGCAACTTACTGCTCCTGCTGGGCTAAGATTCACATCCCGTGTGACGCTCCTGGGCCGCGAGCGCAATGTACAGGCCTCAAAATTATGAGGCTGCCCGAGGCTGACGATACCTAGCTGCCTGTCATTTGTCACTGAAATTCGAGTCTGTGTTTGAAAAGTTTGCCACAGCAACCTTCAGCACTTCCAAAAGAGGAAACGATGTCAAAATGTTATTTGCTGCTACAGCATGATATTCCCAGCTATTTTTTTCCCCTAAAATAGACACATTTTAATCCAAGCACTCTAACTCAGCCATTTAAAATCAGACATGCATTTTCCAACATATTCTATTAAATAAATAGAGCTTTTCTGTAAAAGCATATAGAAGAAAGGAAATATTTCCACACCAATGTTTTGGCCTACCTCCTTCATTTCCACTTCCTTGTCACTTCTTACTCCGTTTTCTGGAGCGGGGATGTCTACATAGATGACCAACTTGCTGGTGTGACCTCCCTTCATTAGAATCTGTGGCTCAAAATTTGAGGTTCCAAAGCCATCCAAAGCATAAAAAGCAACAGTATATCTCAGCTTCCCTGCATAGGCCATGAGCTGTTTGGATAAAAAATTACTACTTTTATTTATTCCAAGGTTAGAGCTACTAGGTGAAAATATTTTAACATCATTGGGAAACTTGAAAACTGTCAGTTCTTTGAAGAATTGGCAATAAAACACGAAAATTGACTTAAAACTCAGCAGTTCTTGCACCAAGGTTAAATGCATATTTCTAAAAAGCAGTCTCAGTTTCTTCTTTTACACCCTTTCAAGGTGTGCACTCAATTGTCCTTTAATTCTTAAGCAATAGGAATTCCATGATCTATACACTGAATATAGCATCAAGGTTGAAAACTCTTTCAGGTTTCTAAAGTAAGATGGAATACATCACTTCTTTCCCCCCCATGCGATATCTGAAGAGTAACATGGTAATTACATACGGGTGTTACCAATTCACAGGGTCAAGAAAAATCTCATTAGGAAAGGGTCACGTTAACATAGTGTTTGTGCTTGCTATAAATAAGTTCAGTCACTGAATATTTATAATATTATGACCTACAAGAATAGAACTAACAGAAAAATGTTATCAAGATAAAGTGACTATTATACAATAAAGGAGTGACTATTAGACAATAAAGAAATTATCTAAAAAGCACTCTAATTATTTAATGGTCTCACCTGGTCTCCCTGAAACTGCTCTGGTAACCTCCAGTAAAATGTTTCTGTATTTAAGTATTTTCTGACTACGGCAGCATCCAGTAAAACATCAGGAAACTGCGAAAATACTCCTTCCACTGTTCCAGTCAGGTTACTTTGTGCTACTACACGCAAAATGGACTGATCTGGAGTTAAAGTTATCTGCAATACAAAGAACAAAAAAGATTAATTCATCAAAAATACTCTATCTCAGTGTAACATACTGTTAACAGTTTTAGCTGCTTTAGGATAGTCAATAGTCCATCTTAGAGTAATAAATGCCCAAACCAAAAAATTGGGAAACATGTTTGATATTTTTTTTTAAATCGAAGAATGAAACACGAGGTTTCAGAAATAAGACTATGATCAGTTATCATTTGCTTTCTTTTGTTGCTCTGCCATATGCCACTGCCTCCGTAAGGTAGCCAATTGCCTTCAGCCTGATTCATGAATTGTAGGCAACTTTAGGCGCACTAGTGTGGCACCTAACACAAGGATAACACCAAACTGTGTCTGCCTATTTATGTCACTTTACTTACAGGAATTCTTACGTGATCTTCTAGTTCCGAACAAAACATGGACATCCCAAAACAGAAGCATGGAGTACAGCCTAGTGCATTGTTTGCAGACAGAGCAAAAGTTCCAGGTTTACACTCACTGCATTGCAAACCAAATACATTCTCCTGGAGGAAATAAAAAAATAAAAGCACAATCATAACAGCACACTCATGTTACTTTGCTAGCTGAATGAAAGATGGTTCTTTTTGGAAGAAAAACTAGTTGCTATGTAAACCACATAACAGGATAGATACATATTGTATCTATTCTGTTTTACTATGCAGTACCTTTTTTTTCCTCATTACTTTCCAATGCTAGTGTTTCAGTTTTTTGTTTTTGTTGGGTTTTTAAAAAAAAAAAAAAAAAAAAAGCAGAGAACATTCAAGCAAAACTCATGTACTTTGATTTCTAGCAGACAGAAAAAATCTCCCCCCTGGCCCCCCCCCGCAATCTGGAAAATGGGCTCTCAAAGCCAAAGCAACTACTCAGTATGCAGAGGAATCAGGGGACCTATTCCCAAGTGTCTGGTTTTGCACTCAATTCCCAACTACTAAGTCCAACTTGAAGAAGCACCTAAAACTACCGTCAGTGCCCACTGGTGCCTTTAACCAGAAGACTGGAAGGAGACCTATGAAGTCATAGTATTTGTTGCCTTGAAGTTCTTTTCTATCACTCAGTCTTTCAAGAACAGATTCCCACTTTTTCAGAAAAATCTGGACTACCAAACCTCTGTACTTAATGTTTCCTTTTTTTACACAAGAACATCAATTCAGATTTCACTATTAGCAATATATGTGAGTTATTCTGAGGGACTGCCTTTGGTTATAGCATAGGAAACAAATTTGATCTTGCAACATAACCACATTTAAAAAAAAAGGTTGAGATTCTCCATTTTTATCAGTTTCTTTGTATTTATCGGTTTCTTCCTATCATTATCACCTGGAATTTCAGAAGAGCAGGCTGCATCATCTGAACTAGCTTGCTGTTCCCAAACCTAATAAAACCATGTGTGTATGAGCAGAAAAAAAAAATCCTCTATTTAATTTTTTCCATTTGTATAATGAGGATAAGAATATAATAGCTTTTTCACTGGAGTTTTCTACCATTTAATTAGTTTTTTTAAATGCTTTCACATCTAGGATGGACGATGCTGTAGAAGTGCTGTCTCTCTGCCTCTACACAGAAATGAAATAATTCATTGCCAAAGCAGCATGTAGGGAATTCATGTTTTTAAGTTAAGAAGAAAACAACCTTTTTATCAGAGAATGTCTGCTCAGAAACTTAAAGATGATATCAATTAATGCGACCTGCACTCAGAAGTGCAACTCTTGCAGCAAAGTATATCTAGACTCCATGAAGGAACAGTTTTCCCTGGCTTGAGATAGAAACATTTTCTCTGTATTCCTCATTGCATTAGAATACTTTTGTCTGTTACAGCTGGTTCTTCTCCAATGTTCTAAATGTACTGAAAAAATAAAACACCTTTTAAATAGCAACTAAGAAATACTGCGTATGAGTTACGAACTATTATTATTGGAACTATTTGCAAAGCAAAACGCAACTATAGAAAAACACAAGTAGGATAAATAATACATGTAGAATTGTTCTTGGCATCAAAAGGCATTTACAGAGAAATATAGTGACATTGAAGTCACTAGCACCATTCTCATACTTAACAAAATTCCCAGAACTTATGGCCAGTGCTTTGTCCTATTCAAAAGGAGGCAGACAGAGATCTAGCAGCAAAAGGAAACGCAAGACAAATGCATCCTTATTCATTTCTCCCTTACCATACTAACCCACAAAAAAAAAGGACTCAATGTACTACAAGAATGAGGTGGTTACAGAAATTCACTTAATACAAAATAAACACATGGATCCTACACTAAGCAAATGAAATCTATTTGAATTTAGGGCTGCAGTGAGACTATAGTTGTGAAATAGGACAAATCCTGTACAAAACTAGAAAGACACCAGTCATTTTTCTATCACATGTACAGTGGCTGTTCTGTAAACTTGGCAAGGATTCAGCATTAGTCACCTAGAATGATTAGGCATACAACGGGTCTTTGTCCTGACTACTTAACATACGGCCACATCAAATGCCAGGAATTCTGTCCAAAAGAGAACTACAGTCCTATGCCACTCTAATTTTATGACCACAAACTGGAAATAAAATAGCCTGGCTATGTAAAACAAAGCAAAGGGAGGTAGGAGACACAAACTGCCTAGTATTATGACAGTAATTTCTGAGAACAGAAATAACACCACCCCGTTGGTAATGTTGCTATCTCTTCTACCTACAGCTGTGTTGTGTCTGTCCAAAGTGGGGAACATCATCTTGCAGTTTCTAACCCCACTGACTAAGTAAGACTTGTTTAGTGGTGGCACAGAAAGTCCTTTAGGGGTGATTCAGGTGTACTCGGAAACATTTCAAAGAAGGGATGCAGACTGCCTTTTGAAGTCCTTTCAGCACTACACCTTCCATGACTTCTATGTAATAAATTCCCAGAAAACCCCAACGCTGTCCCAAAAAGGAATACTTCAGTACCTTGCAGGTACAGATGCCAGTTTCTTCTTCACAACCACAAAGTCCTTCAGTGTCATCACACATCTCCGCTTTGGTTCCACTCAAATCACAGTCACAGGCAACACAGTCCGGGTAGTCCCTGTAGCCTAACGCACACCTGGAACAGTCTTGTCCTCCAAATTCAACTTTGCACTGGCATTGACCCGTCAGTACATCACACTGGAGATTGGCTGAACCAGTGTTGCTACAGTTGCAATCCTTAGATGAAAAAAAGAAATGATCATAAACAGCAGATCTTTAAAAACAATTTTGTTACAACAAATGCCAAACTAAATTTAGAGTGGCCCTTAAAACTCAATATTTGTCAACAACTGCTATACAATAATAAAAGGGAAGAATCCCATTGAAATAGGGTTGTTTGGTTTGTATTTGAACAAAGAACTGCATTTCCAGCCAACAGTGGATGGCAAAAAGTAAGAAACTTTCTTGATTCCCAAATTTGGGTTGCGAACCAAAGGAGTTGAAGGAACCTGTTCCAGAGGAAAAAGAAAAAAAATCCTAAAGACTTAATTTAAAATACTATGTATTGAGTGCAACAAGTAGATTAAAATAATGTTATATAAAAGTTTGATGAAATAAACCTATAAGTACAATAATTTTATAAATACAATAGAAAAATCTTAATACTGACATTCTTTTTAAGATTTCAAGAAGCATTAATAGGGTCTACATCTTGCTCGAGCTTCAGTTTGTGTTTGATGAGGAACCAAGAATCTCATTGCAATCAAAGGTGGGAAGCTCAGCATGCGCTGCAGCTCATCACCAAAGGAATACTGTTCCCTGGCAGAGCCCATCCTTCATTATGCAATCAGTAATATGAACCTCTTCTTACAAATATGCAAAGTGGATGTACTGAATTTGTTGTTCGTTTTTTGAAGCAGCCTGGATCTGATCTTCAGTCTTAATTTCACATCTCTAGTTACTTAACAAGTCAAATCCTGCACTGTGATTATTTCTAACACTGCAGGCAAAAAGTGCATTCCCTCTATCATCACCTGACTGCGAGTATTTTCCCTGAGTCTTCTTTTGGAATCATCTCGCTTTGAGACGAAATGTCTTATGTTGTAGAGCACTCTACACAAAGACCCACAGTATCTGCTGGCATCACTACGTATACTTTAGCATTCTTAACAAGTTTGCTGCTCACCAAATAATCCTCTGTATTAAGCAGTTTTTTACTCTAGCAGCAAGCACTAGGTACTACACTGCCTAGTCTAATACACTTTATGACCAAATAAGTTGACAACAACTTTGGCTCCAAGATATCGTTAAAGGTCTACAGCTCTATCTGTAGATAATTGTACCCTAGAGTCCTTATTTAACTGTGCTGCAGCACACTTGAAAAGAGGTGTAAGCAAAATATGACTACAGCTCTGCTCCATCACTGCACCCAGAAATTGATGCTGAATACCAAGAAAATTACAAGAAACGGAGCCAGATGAACTATCCCACTAATGCAGTCTGTGTTGCAAAAACAGGCCAGATGGTTTCTCACAGCATCTCCCCAATTTCGTCCATGTAGAGAGCATGCAAGAGCCTTTCCAGGGTTTGCCAGCAGACATTGCACTGGATCTCAGCCTGCCACAGCTAACTGTTCAGCACAGGGGAGCCTCTGCTGGGACTGTTACCTGCACATCACAGTACTGTTTGCTGCATCAAGAAAGTAACTAAAAAACCTTAGAGCAATTCATGTTAATTACTGTGATGCTGAAACTAACAGGAATGCTGAACAACCTAGCAAAAGCGAGCAATTACACATTTACGGAGTTACCCTGTGAAAGGAACACTTCAAGGGAAACGCACAGGGACCAGCCATTGTACTTGCAGAACATTAGGTAAGAATGACAGTAGCTGGTAGCTGACAAAGCAGTGGTTTAAAGACTGGCTGCCAAATAAGTTGCTATAAATCACTAAGATGGTAAACTCTGAAGAGGTATTATACAACTATTTTATCATCCTTACTCAAAATAAATTAGAGAGAAAAAAGAAAACAATTTGGCTGATACTTGTACTTACTCCATATAATGATAGACCTTGTCAAGTTGACTATAGTTGTGGTTTCTCCATTGAAATTATTACCTTCACGTAATTCTGAGGCTTTTTAAAATCTCAACATTTATAAAATAAATACTGGCCCAATGCCATATCTGTCAGGAATTTACTGCACGAACCTAATTGCATAATGCTACTCCTTGGATCTGCGCCAAGTTGTGGCATTTTACTGCTTAATGATAAATATTAAGCTGACATAATGGGAGTTACCATTTTTCCATTCATGAAACATTTACTACTCCATACCATTTTCATTTTAAATATTCAGAAAAAGTGTGCAGTGACTTTCAAGATAAGCTAGATTTCATTGTTCTTAAAACCGTATCATCATCACTCCTTGATTAGCACAGAAACTGTGATCCTTGCTGTCAACTGTTGCTATAAACTGGTTTTAGCATCACCATTTAAGCAATTAAAAGTTAGAATACAAACTTCAAAATCTTAGTAAGATCTATGCACCTACCCAGAATAGACACTCTGATCAGTATTTTCAAAGACAGCTTTCTCAGGAGGTTACAGGCGTTTTTTGGGGTTTTGTTTGTGGTTTTGATTTTTGTTGTGGTTTGGGTTTTGGGGGTTTTTTGTGTTGTTTTTTGGTTTTGTGGGGGTTTTTTGTGGTGTGGTGTTTGTTTTTTTTTTATGTGAGCATGTTGCACTAACACTGAGACAGAGAATAAAGATTGAGGTTCTCAAAGCAAGAGTCCAATTCTGACATCAGTATAAGGCAAATTGCTTTTAACAGCCATGGCTTTTCAGCCAGCCTACCATACCTTGCAGCCAAGTTTAGGAGAGAGTCCCCAGTGATTTTCTTCACAGAGTTCACATTTTGGTCCCCGAGTGTGAGGGGGACAAATGCATTGGCCAGAATCAGGATTACAGTTGTTCTGGGTATGAGCACAATCACAGGCTGTAAGAGAAACAGGACCAAATTAACTTTATACTTGCTTTAGCTACAAAGAAACTTCAGGATCACTGACAGTCTTACAGTTCTTAAATATGCAGTACAGTTCATCCATTCCGCTAGGAACTCCTTGCCATCCATAATCACTGAGAAACAAATTATGATATTTCATCTTTTTACTGAAAGCCCATTATTGCTTCTTAACATAGCTTGTTTGGTGGTTTAAAAAGCACTGCTGCATTTCCACAGCAGAATCAAAGCCAAACATAATTATTGTGGAGAACAGTAAATTTGTAGGAAAAAAAATTCTATTACAGAGGATAGAAAATTCATCAGGAGATACAATCATGTTCTCAAGCAGATAAAGGGATTAATCTCAGGAATTAGTACTTTTCAAGAATTGCTTAAGTGAATCATAGGGATTAATAACTATTTTTATAACAACTAACTGCTGCAGGAAGCACTTGTCAATTTAAGAAATGCAATACTATCCTTGCTAAAAAGCTGCAGTTCAGAAAAGTGGTTTTATCAATTGTTTTAATAACATTTACAAAACTCTTGAGACTGAAATGGTTAAAGTAACCTAAGGGATCTTTGCTTCTTAGTAAAGACAGAGTATATATGTTCCAAAAGATAATACTATCATATAATCTCACTGCAGATTTCATATTACTATACTGTTTGAGGCATGAAAAAAATGTTTCTGTCAAGTTGGAGAAAGAGGTAGGCATTCCTTTAGCTATACTGTGTGAAAAGGGCATCTTATTAACATGATAAACCTAACTTATGGTATGTTCTCCATTTGGATTAACATTTTCCTCTGTATCATGACTAAAAATTGTACACACCCAGGTAACGATGGGAACAGAGTCAATAACATCTTATCAAAGTACAAAATATATTTTTAAGAATTAAACTAAAAAATAAGGTAAAAATATGTAAGAGTAAAACAAGGTAAAAATCTATCAACTTTTATGACTGCAGAAAAAAGTTTCGATTGTCTCTGAAAAGTTTTGTAAAAAAATAGACAAAGGAACTCTTGAGGATGTAGCATGTCTCTCATGCAACCTTTATGAGTTGTTATCTCATAGTCACCACCTCTCGCAAGGAACCACACAATAAGCAAACAAAGAAATGTTTTGTTCCCTAGCTTAATCAAAGTATTAGGAGAGCATTCTACAGATTTTTCCATACAGTCATCAACAGGACTGATCTCTGCTGGAGTTTAACATAAAACATATTGCTGAAAGAAATTGCAGACAAACCCTGAAAGGATCATGGATTAGAGCTTACGTGTGCAGCCACCATCCTGGAATGCATGAAAGCCATGAGCACAACGATCACATTTTTCTCCAGCCACTCCTGGTACACAGTGACACTGCCCCTGATGATCGCAGGCCTCAGAGACCGAGCCAAACTGACTGCAGTTGCAGGGAACGCAGCCAAGCCCAGTAAGCAGGCCATAATAACCATTCTGTTGGACAGGAAGTAAATACATTTGAGCTGCATTTCATAAATTTTTGAAAACAATACGATGTACACTCTTGTTTTCTCTTGTTTACTTTCCTGCTGTCTGACCTGCGTGAATATTGGTCAGCACTGTGTCACTGCTGTGGGAGGACTCCCTGGCCTTATCTCTTCGTTGTTCCCAGCTATATGCAAGTATGCATTCGAGGGGAAAAGCGAACACCGAAATGCTCTCGTGGTCCTCTAATCTCACCAGTGAGACTTCATGTTTCAATGACTGAGGTTATTTTAAAGAGTTGCATGAGGTGAGGGTGGATTGTGCTGACCAGACAGAGATTTCTGTGAACGTGAACGGAAGACCAGCACGGAGCAGGTCAGTGACCCATGGGTACACGTGCATTGAAAGGCATTCAGCTGGGCTGGCACAAGGGCAGCAACTGGGCACAGATTTCCTGCTCTGGTTTCTGAGGCAGCTCTGCACTTTGCAAAGGCTGGAAACTGCTGGTTTGTATCCCCAGTGAATATCTATTTGTTCTTAAAACAGCCCTGTCTTTTAGCTGAATCCCGTTTTGGCATCCAGCCGATGTATTTATTATCGCCAACCACCTTCTTCAGATATTCCCACTCAGACTTCATTTTGCAGAAGCTCAGCGCTAAGATCCCTTCAGGTCCGTTAGCAGCATTTGGCTTGTGTTTTCAGTAGGCCACCACGAGTGCACGCTGCCAGTGAGCGCAGCACCAGCCTGAACAGCCCTGATCAGAAGGGTGCCCAGTCAACGACACAGCTGCACATCTGCAGAGAGCGCAGGCAGAGCAATTTGCAGCTGCAAAAGCCTGCGCAGACAAATCTTTGGTCTCCGCTCCAGCAACAGGTCCCCTCTCCCCTGAATGCAGCTATTCTCTGTATCTATCTGCTCTAATCAATGTCTGTAGATAAACAGGAAGACCAAAATACAAGAAAATGTAGATATTAGAAATACGTGAATATTTGCTTACCAAGCACTTATCACATCTTTCTCCGATCACGTTTGATTTGCAGTGGCAGAAGCCCGTCTCATGATGACAAGTACTAGAAAGGGAACCGTTCACATGGCATGCACAGGCTAACGTTTAGACAAAAAGAAATCAAATTTAAAAAAAAAAAAAAAACAAAAAAAAACCAAAAAACCAGAAGTATTAACATCTATCTGTATGATTTCATTATTATACAGAATTCCAAACTTGGTCTATAATGTGTGTTTCACCTATTTATGTACCATGGATGTTGATATACCACAGTAATACCTGTACTACATATTTGGGCTAAAAGATTTTAAAAAACCCACCTCTGTGAATAGAAACATTTTAGAAGTTTCTTTCTTCTAGCCCTATATGTAACATTCAGAAGTAGAAAATATCTACAGCAGGTCACTGGAGGGACAGCGTCAAGGAAGCCCCTAAGTTTCAGGAATATGAAGTGTCAGACCCTAGAATAATACATTCCTTCCTCAGGCTAACTCAACCCCATAGTTTTCAACCTGCACTTGCCAACTCACAATTTGAAGGTTAACTCTTTCAGCAAAGGTGCATATCTCCCCATCCATTCTACTACATGTACACCACATTCTTGTGTTCTTTAAATTTGGAGCGTATTAATAACAATAGCTTACCATGGCAGCTCTTCTCAGTCACTGCATCCCCGTAATACCCATCAGCACACCTTTCACAGTGGTGACCTGCGGTGTTCCCCAGACATTTCAGGCATTGTCCTGTGAAGGTGTCACAGTGGCCATCTTCTTGAGGGTTTACATTGCCATTGCATTCACAAGGAGCACACGATTGTCCAGGCATGAGTGGGTTTCCATAGTAACCATTAGCACATCTGCACCAGAGATTAAAAACTTTATTAGCTGGAACGCGGTCATGTCAAACAGTCTCGCCACTCAAGGGAATATTTCCTATTAAATTTTTATCTAAAGTGTGTCTATTACAAGCAAAGACAAAATAGGAAGGAAAATTTTGTCAGGAATGTTCTGTACGTGTATGGTGTGAACAAATCAAGGCAGGTAGGATGATTAACAGTTAGCGACAGCAGATAGATAGAGATTTTACCCAAAGCTAGTGTACATACCTTTCACACTGAGAACCAGTATAGCCTGGAAGACATTTATCACAGACAATTTGACCTCCTTCACTCAGCTGGCAAGTAGGACTGAAACTATCAACAATATTTATGGCAGTCAGTATCACAGAATCGCAAGACTTCCACAAACATTCAATTATTCACCCTTCAAATCTAAGCACCTATCTATACAACCACATAATTGCACATTTTTCCAGATTAACATCAATGCTTTAAACATCACAATTTGTCAAAATAAAGCTCTCGTTTTCAAAAACTCTTCTTGAGGATTTTTAATTTAAAGGAAAGGAAGCTTTTAAAACTTCCTCTTTCCAGCAAATCTGTCCAATTTCTGTACCAAGCTCCTCTTTTTCACACGCAATACTTCCGCTGTTGTTTTCTGAAACAACATGAAAGATAACTGTGATTTTGCTGCCAAGTTCAAGGATAGTATTCAAAGCATTACTTTCAACTTTCACATACAAATTGCACCAGTTCACTCAGCCTGTCTTAGCTTAGTCTATGCATTTGTCTACCTGGAAAAACAACGTTCTATGAGACATACTCAAATGAAGAGGGAGAAAAAAACCTCCTACTCTCTCTCCTTCAGATTTCATGACATTCATTCTTTATCTCGCTTTCTGATTTTGCTGAAGATGCAAAAGAAAATCTCACATAAGCAGCTTACTTGTTTGCAGCAGAACTCAGAGGACACGCACACGGCTGGCAGTCCTCAGAAGTTCCTTGGGACGGACTTCCATAGAAGCCAGGCAAGCACTGATCACAGAAAGGCCCTGTTGTGTTGTGTTGACAAGCCTGTGAGACAGGATAAAAATCTTTTCATATTTACCCTTGATGGTTTTTCAACCCCTGAGGGATCCCTGCAGGAGTCTGCATGCAGTATAACATTCAAGGAGACAGGCCATGAAGAACAGAGTAGAATTTTGAAAATAAGTAGGTTTTTTTCTGAGTTATAACAACAAATCCTAATTGTTTCTCTCCTACATTTTAGAATACAGTTTACACCACAAAACCAGCCACATTACTTACATGCAAACTTAAACATATTTTGCATATTGCACACATTTGCAGTGACAAAATTCCCATATATTTCTTACTGATGTTCAGCCATTTTATTTCTGTGACCTTTAAATTTCAGAAGAGATCTGAAAGCTAAATTCTCTCTTCAGAAGGCAATGTGTAATTTCCACTGATGTCAGTCATGGAAGATGTGCATATATCCAAAAACAGATACTGACCCAAAATAATGCTTAAAAGGTTTTGTTGTCTCCTGCAGCAAGCAAAGTTAAGATTTTTATCAGACAGTATATGGTGACATTTTTAGTTTAGTTTTGATTATTCTCCACTTCAAACGATAAACTGAAACAAATCCTTTACTGGAAAACACTTTAATAAAGCCCCTGGACATATTCTGAGGCAAACAGTGAAAAGCAAGAAAAATAAACACTTGCTACCTACAGCTTGAAATCAACGTGCACTGTAAACTTGTCTTCCACAGCCAAAATGCTCTCCTAATTCCTAAACAGATGCTTAAAACACAAACACTTTGAAGGATGACTTACAAAGCAAACACCATGAATATCACACTCAGTTGCATGCCCATTGCATTTGCAGGGTTGACAAATACCTCCAAAGAGTATTCCATCCACACGGTAGTACCCAGGGAGACAGGACTGAGAAGAAATGAGGGGGAAAAAGCAGTAGCATTATATGTGCTAAAAGTACACATCAAAACACTTTCAAAGAGCCCACTTCTGACCACCCACCATCTGACTCATTCACATTGCGGTAACTGAATGCTCTTATACTCTATTGATGTCACTGCAGGTCTTTTCTGGTGGTTTTTACTTGCACTGGATAAAGGGGATAAGAATTAACTCCATAAAACTTCGATTCAGCTCTTTGTCCCCTGGAGGCACATAAGTTAAGTTTTGAGCAGCTGAATATGTGAAGTTCTTTATTATGGAACAATAAAAAACAGATGTTCTACCTCCCCTGCAGAATCATTAATGACGCAATGGCACAAGGGTTCATACTGAAATTATTTGTCAGAATAATTCCTGCTATTCTGCAGATGGTGCTCTGCCTCCCTCATCTTCCATTCACAGCTATATAAAGACACCACCTTGCATGACACATTTGACTCTTATGGGATCTTCCGAAGGCTAGCATTCCTCCCTGCTAAGATTCCTTATTGCCTCCATAAACCTAATGACATAAAACAGAAATACACTGTACACAATTCAGATCCAGGAAAAGTGCTATTAATGAGTAAGGTAAGCTCAAAACAGCTTCACAGAGCTTTTATAGCTGCTCCCTCTGCAACATCAATGTTCTAAAGTGTATCATCATCTTTTAGTGCCACCAAATAGAATTCAAGAAATAAGTTTAAAATCCCATTTAGTGTATCTGGAAGAAAACATCTACGGTATTGTGTACAGTACAGTAGACAGCATTTCACCACAGAACATATACTTTTATGGCAGTATAACTAAAGGCACCCTGCCTTTAAAACCTAGATCCTTTCAGATAGGAGATAGTTTTGCATACATAAAACACTGTAAGAGGTTACCTCACAGGATATTCCTGTGTAACCTTGAGGACATTCACAGAATTCCACATCTGGTGCTGAAGAAAGATCTATAACATTTGCACTTGCAGTATCCAGGGTCACAGAGTCCAGCCTAGGATCAAGCATGAAAATATCACATCATTTGTTTACCCAAACTTGATTTTGAACAGGATAGTTTGCTTCTACAGGAATAACACTGCTGAGTGCTGCTGCCTGTCAGTGATAGCTGAGGAAAGGCACAAACCTCTGCTGTAAAAAGACCATGAACATAGTTTTATCACTGTGTTTGCAATTCTAGTAGACGTGCCCTCCTCCTTTATCATCATTGTTACTCCCATTGTCTCTTCTGTGGCAGGTTTAAACAAAACCTTCCCCCTCTGCCATGGTATTAGAGGTACATCAGTGGGACAGCCTTCTATTGTTGTCCTGAAATAAGACAGCTTTACTGCACTGTGTCTAAAATAGACAGTTATCTCAGGCGGGTAAGTAGTGAGAAGCAGCACCAGTTCATTGGTGCTGCACACAACTGAGCAAAGCAAAACTGGAACAGGCTGCCCAGAGAGGTTGTGGAGTCTCCTTCTCCGGAGACATTCAAAACCCGCCTTGACTTGTTCCTGTGTGACCTGCTCTGGGTGGTCCTGCTCTGGCAGGGGGGTTGGACTAGATGACCTTTTGAGGTCCCTTCCAACCCCTGACATTCTGTGATTCTGTGAAAACCTCTTACTACAAATAATGGCATTTTGCAGCAGAGAGAATCTTCTCAGCCACAGGCAAAACGATTTCAATAAATCTTCACACTCATTGCAAAAAGATGAGCACGCTATCCCTAAATGGACATAAATATTGCCACTCCTCAAGGGCACAAAAGGACACAAAGCAAATTTGTGGCTCTGCGCTGGACTCTTTCCAGCAGTTCCCTGCCCTTGAACTGAGGGGCCCAGAGCTGGACACACTATTCCAGATGGGGTCTCACCAGGGCAGAGCAGAGGGGGAGGAGAACCTCTCTCGACCTACTGACCACAGCCCTTCTAATGCACCCCAGGATGCCCTTGGCCTTCTTGGCCACGAGGGCACATTGCTGGCTCATGGTCATCCTGCTGCCCACCAGGACCCCCAGGTCCCCTTCCCCTACGCTGCTCTCCAACAGCTCAGTCCCTAACCTGGACTGGTCCATGGGGTTGTTCTCTCCCAGATGCAAGACCCTACGCTTGCCCTTGTTGTATTGCATTGAATTCCTCCCCGCCCAGCTCTCCAGCCTGCCCAGGACTCGCTGAATGGCAGCACAGCTTTCTGGTGTGTCAGCCACTCCTCCCGGTTTTGTGTCATCAGCAAACTTGCTGACAGTGCACTCTGTTCCCTCATCCAGGTCACTGATGAACATATTGAATAGTACTGGTCCCAGTACCGACCCCTGAGGGACTCCACTAGATACAGGCCTCAAATTTGGTATCAAGTTCAATGTTACTGGTATGAAATGCTACCAGATTAGGGACTGATGAAGAAAGGCTATCAGCGAAGCTAAGGGAATTAAGTAAATATATTATGAGGCACTGGAACCGATTCCCTTGAGAACAATAAGACTTTATTCCTGTATATCCTGGAGAACAGGTAAAACAGATCTGTAAGATCTGGTGTAGATACGCCTAATGCTGACTTCAGACTATGGAATGACCAGTTAATCCATTCCAGCTTAATTTTCCTATTAAGCTCTCCCTTAGAGATGAGCACCAGTAACATCTACAGACATCAAAAAAAATTACAGCCAACATCTTTACTGGCAGGTTTTCAATAGTCAGTGATGGATTAACTCGCCACATACCAAAACAACCGTACTGTTGAGAGTTTCAGAGGTATTTCCCTCTAACAAAGCAGCCATTGTAATAAGGCTTTTATGCAGTATTCCTTTAAAGCAGAAAACAATGTTTCTGCTATCAGATATCTTTTAAAACAACCAAATACCCTTTTCCACACATTCCACATTAATATGTTTTGGGGACAAGACCAGTCTTGAGAAAATTCAATAAAAAAAATTTTTTTTTCTATAAATTATTAACTAAAACTTTAGGAATACTGCCACTATAAAGTGTTTCATATGCACAAAAATAATAGAAGTATATAGATTAACTTGAATATTTTCCCCCCACCTCACCTGTACACGGCTTTTTTGGCAATGTTGTAGTTGGCTCTGATCAGAAGATGGGTCACATTTACCAGAACAGTCATCAACCTCTCCCGATCTATCGCTTTTTTTGTATTGAAGTCTATGAAATTCTCTGATACAAATCTCACTGCATTAGAGTACTCCTCATATGGCTGCAATGATAAGCCTGCTGCTCTTGTACCCAAAATCTGCCCATTACCCTGAAATTGAAAGACAGTGAAAACATTTTCCATATTCGCATGAAAATGTTATTAAGCAATTACATTCAGTGTCAGATCCAGATAACACAGAAAAGAGGCAAACTAGATTTCTTGCACTAGAAAAAAAAAGTAAATAAAAGTTTTGCATTTTCCGTGGCTTCAGGAAGACTACAATCCTGTTCTCTTTTGGTTCAGACTTCATAAATACTTACTTTTGTTTTGGGAAAAGAATTAAATTAAATTTCAAAAATCAAAGTCCTCTACAAAACAGAATCTCATTTCTCCTTTATTCTATTACTAAGTATGTATTACAAAATAATGCTTTTTTGGAGGTGCCTGGATTCAATATAGAGTCTTCCTTTTCAACTGCAACATAAATCTAGAAAAGTAAGCAATCAGCAAGAACACTCATCTGTTTCAGAAGTCCTTCCAGCTTATTGTAGTTTCTTTCATAAATAGAGCTTTGTACATTCAGTAATGAATGCCTCACCTGTTTACACATGGGTTATAATTTAGGTGTTTCTCATTTGAAACTAGTATTGTATATCTACAATTCCAGAAAAATTAATCAGAAAAATCAAAGAAATGAGTAGCAACAAAGTCTTGGTAGTGACTTTTAAGAAGAGATTTGCAATTGACAAAACTACCAGTATAGAAATATTATTTTCCTTCTTTTAACACCTTCACAGTTTCCTAATACTGTCTGAATAGCAACAGGCTGAAAAAAAAAAAAAATCCACCTGAATGATGACGTCCACACTAGATACTATATCACTGTCCATACTCTCCATTGGAATGTCATAAGATACTGTATACTTCAAGTCTCCACCAAAAGCTGTGAGCTGAAATAACAAAAAGCAAAGTCTTAACAACACAATAACCTCCAACCAACACACAAAGAAGTGACATGGGACAGTACAACATCCGAATTATGGGAGTACATGGATTACAAATACCACTTCACAGGGAAAACTTAACATGCCGTGTATCAGCACCGGGACAAGCACTGGCTCACTGCTGTGCAGGTGGGGAAGGCTACCTGAAGGCTCTACAGATGATTAAGAAGCACCCTCATTCAGTGAAACACCTACAGGACTTTCAACAAACAGCAGAGGTTTACACCATCATCCTAGCCAAGCGGCACAGCATGCTGGAGTTATTCACGTTCCATATTCCACCTTCAGGCTCCTTAGCCCCGCAACTGCTGCCGACTACTACTTCAAAGTAAGTTAAAGAGTAGTACCAGCAGTTAGACCTATATTAAATTAATAAGAGATTAGAATTTGAGTGAATGTTGCCCTGTGCAAAACTACTCCTTAATGCTACGCTTCTGAGACTTGTTTTCATTTACTGTGTCACCATACTGAGAAATAGGGCTGCATGGGCAAAGAGACAGGACCGGTAACAATTACATGTGAAGTTGCAAGGTTCCCTCTACTCAGCACTGATGAGGCCACAGCTGGATTTCTGAGTCTGGTTCTGGGCTTCCCAGCACAAGAGAGAGCTGGAAATCCTGGAAAGAGCCCAGCAAAGGGCCACAAAGATGATTTAGAGCCTGGAGCATTTTTCATGTTAGGAAAGACTGAAGAGTACTGGGACTGTACAGCCAAAAGAAGGCTCAGGGAGATCTCATCAATGTATACCAACAGCTGAAGGGAGGGTGGAAAGAGGATGGAGCCAGGCTTGGATGAAGGTGCAAAGAGGATGGAGCCAATGGTTCCCAGTGACAGGACCAGGGGCAATGGGCACAAACTGCAACACAGGAGGTTCCCTCTGAACATCAGGAAACATTTTTTTTTTATTGTGAGGGTGATTGAGCACTGGCACAGGCTGCCCAGGGAAGTTGTGGAGTTTCCATCTTTGGAGATACTCAGAAGCTCTCTGGACATGTTGCTTGACAACCTGTTCTAGGTGACCCTGATTGAGCAGGGAGGTGGGCAAGATGATCTCCAGAGGTCCCTTCCAACCTCAACTATTCTGCGATTCTGCTGCAAATAATGTGAGATCCAGAGCTTTAGGTAGTAACCAAGGCAAAAATTAAAGACTAGCTGCTTGGAAACTGATAAATGTGAAATGGGAGATGGCCGAGAGGCAGGTAAGAGGAATTTAATGGTCCTGTCTACTGTATTGGACAAGGCGTGAAGGGTGTAAACTTTGGGACAGGAGCCAAGAGTATGGGGAATGTAAGCTAGTAACAGTCCAGAGGAAAAAAAGAGAGATTATACTGTGTCAAGGACAGGCAGAGAAGGAAGTGGGGAGACGAATGAGCTCAAAGAGCTAGAAAAGGGTACAGAGAATGTTTTGATAGGAACATTATGATTTGAAGAGCAGAGATAGAGAAGTCTGGTAATACTGGGTTTATGTGTAATTTTTAGTTACAGAAACTACATATTCAGAGTAATGTTATAATTAAAATAAAGAAACTATAAAGGAGTTTTGACTCTAGCTGAGAACTTACTTTATTTCCTAGATATATTTCAGGTGCTGACCAGTAATAAGCATGTTTCAGTACTTTCACAGCCTCAGTGTTATTAATACTTATTTGATGGGGTCCATCAAATTGGCTTCGCTGGGGTTGCATGCTCCTTGCGTTATACAGATCAGTAACAAGCCATCCAGTCATGTCCGATATCTGCAAGAAAGAATAATAATATTGAGTCAGGTTTTGTGTCACTGAGAAAGCAGTCACTAAATTTAACCCCTCCCTAGACAGTCATTTGAACTGATGGTTCTCCAACACTTTCATTAGCCCAGTCTGATATCCAATACATGAAAACAAGCCACTTCAGACTAGGATTGTCTCTACCTTTCTATTAGACAGGAACAAAAATATAACAGGTGTGATTTTCATTCTCCCAACAAAATTATTATTATACATATGTAATTCTCTGAGGTAGAATTACAGAACTTCAAGGGCTTTGAGGTCTATTGTCCCCACTTACAGATAGGGCTCAGCTGGAGAAAAGTTAAATCCAGAGTCCCAGAAGAGGGAGCAAGATGAGAGAACTTTGTTCTTCTCACCAAACAGCATCTTAGAATTTCAGTCAATCTGATGTGTTTTCGCCTCTTTTCACTGGCACACAAAACAGGGGACTAAAGGGTGACTAGCTCTGCAAAGATACAGAAGGAATGTAGTGGAAAAATAGCATCAAAGCCCCCTAACTCAAGAAATGTCTATTCAGAAGACAGTAATATTTAAAATCACTCTGTTTCCTAAGAAAGAGTATTGACAATATTGCCAGAGGTCACTTGCCCAATAGGTCTGAGAGCAAGGAAACAGGTTTGGGTTCATCTCTTCAATATGCAAAGAAACTTTTAACAGCACGAGGTCAGAAAATAAGTGCATTTTTCCAGTACATTATCACAGCCTCCACTACCCAGTGCTTCTGGTACTACTGCAAGCCAGTGGGGCCAAAGCTTGCATTGGGATGGCACACTGATTACCTCAGAGCTGCCAAATGACTCTGAAAATCCATTACTCTGTAAGGAAACACATGCCAGAATTCGGAGTTAACTTGGGCGCATGTCAAAGAGAAATATAGTACATTTTGCAGCTGCCTGAGGAAAGAGTATTAGGTCATGGACATAACATAAATACCTGACTGATGGGCCATGTTAGGCTGTCACAGACATCAGAAACCCCAAAGCAGAAACACTCTGTGCAGCCCTGAGGATTCCTTTCTTGCAAATTGTAGAATCCTGGTTTACAGAGATCACAGTTTTCACCTTCTACATTTTCCTGTCAATGGCATATAACATTTGTTTCACATCAGCATTATTATGGTAACAAATAAAGTGGATTAGATGGGATTTAGGCATAACAACATTCAGAAGGTTATAAAAGAAAACAGATTTCAGCACAGCAGGATTATTGAATAAGACTTAGAGCTTAAAATGAAAACTGATTGGAAAAATTCATCAGAATTTGCCAGTTCATCAAAATCTAAACATGCCCTGGCAAGGACTCTATTGCATTGAAATTTCAGCACACAGGCAGGGTTTGAAAAGCTGCTGCCAGCTTGCCAGTCTACTTCTCTCGTAGCTTGAATTTGTACGTTGCTCTAGAGAAAAGTTCCCATGTTTCCTGAATCCAGATGGTCTACATACGGCATAGCTCACCATAAGGCCAGGCTCCTGGAGCTACCACAGCGAGCTTCAAGACAACAGTTCCTCAACCATCTATTAATACTTATACTGTGATCTGCTCCACTGCTGCCACCTCTTTCTGGAAGAACACCACATACACTACTTATGCTAGCTGGCAGCTCTTCCTCCTAATATGCTTTGGCTAACCAGAAACTCCTGCTCCAAAAGTAGAGATGCTCCACTCCTTTAGCTCCTTTCACTGGCCTGCTGCCTCCTTACCACGCAAACCACGTACTTCAGAGCATACCGCTACACAGCTCTTTCAATGTGGAACTTACGGGGGCAATCCAAAGCAGTACATCCAATGCCTAGACATCAAGAGCTGTGTTTCACAAAAGATCAAATATTACAAAACTCAGAGCATGAAAAGAAATAGCTTGCATTACTGTGTTCAATGAGACTGCATAGGCTTAGAAAACCTCTTTTCTTCATTTGCTATTTGGAGCACAAAACTTTCCTCCTTCCTTTGTTTCACCTCTATAGGTAGGCTGCTGGCTGGTGACACTCTCAGTGATCTGGCCTAAAAATTCTGTATGCCAGGCTCATGCCCATGACAGCGCTGAAAGGGGACAGTTTCTCATCTAGTTTATACCAAAATCTTCAGCAGGTAGCTGCATCGGCTGATATAGTGCTACTCTAGCTCAAAATCAGGCAAAATGGTTGTATATTTTTCTTCGCATTTAAATTGGCCATTGAAGCTATTTCTTTCTTCCAGACTCTGGTTATTTCTATGTTTGATATTTTGTATCAGATAAATTACGCAAAAGGACTAAGAAGTTTCAGAAAATTGTCCAAAACACCCACTTTTTTTTGGTTCCTCTTCACTGTCATACTTGGCAACAAATAAATAACCTACTAGATAATATTTGGTTCAGAAAATTAAGTGTAACTTCTTTAAATATTGACACACAGCTTTGTAATAAAGTTTACCAGAACATTCAGCTGCAACGTATTTCAAGGCATTTGGATATTTACCAAAAAATAAAAGAAGGCTGGAAAACCGCTCTCTTTTAACTTTATTTTTTTATGGTTTATATTTTGTAATCAAATGATTAAATATTTCATACATACATCTAATGTAATTGTTCCAATACTTCTTCCCAAATGCATGCTGTTTCTTCATACAAAGCAGATGTTATAAACACACCCTTTCTTTACAAGAAATCAGTGACTTTGAAGAGAAATACCAGCTCATCCCTAAAACAAAACCCAGCTAGGCATACTGCCATTCTCTGTGATTCTCCCTCATACTCACACGCGCAGTTATTATTTGATTTAGATGTCAGTCTGGCCCATTATTGTAGAAAATGCTGTACCAGTAACATACAAAACTATTCAACATAAATTACCATATTTTTCAGCACAAAGAATAGTCAGTCATTTTAAGTTCTAGGTTGTTAGAAGTGATCTCTCCAGTTAATCAAGTGATTTCCTTATTGAAAAGGAGTTTACAAATTAATCCACAGATTTTATTTTTTTTTTAAATGACAGTTTAATACTCACTTTGCAAAGACAAGGTTCTGTGCATGGATCTTCATTAATGCTACCAATGAGGCTGCAGTTACAACGCAGACAGTTTGGATAGCCCCGATACCCAAAAGCACAACGATCGCATTTCTCTCCTGCATAACCTTCTCTGCATCGACACTGACCTGGCCAAGTCCCTTGAAAACCAAAAACAGAGAAACAAATAAATAAGAGCAGGCAATAGGTTGGATTCAAGATGTCTCTGAGGGTGTAAGTAATTTAGCATTCCTTTTTTATTACACTCCATGTTCTATTCCACACAAATACTTGGCATCATGATAGTCTCACCATCTATTTTTCATGTTTATCATACCAGATGCACAGAAACTGCAGCGGAATGGATTTTGTGACAGCTGTAACAGCATTCATAAACAGTGTTAGATCTCAGTCCTTCCCACTGTTTTACACAATCAGAGCCCACCATCCCCACACAAGAACACATTCAGAGACCTGACACCTTTAAATCCTAAAAGTATGTTATGCCTCACCTCTCCTTCCTAAATATTTACCATTGTTTTGAAATGGTATCTAACTGGCAGCCACTCACAGGTAGATAGTGTTCCCTCAGACTTCAACATCTAGAAACACAGACAGATTTGAAACAGAGAAAAGGTCCTTGCTGCTCCCTTACCACGCTGTGAGTCAGAATGGTGCTCATCTTTAACACAGTCAGAACTCAGAGAGCCGAATGGGTCGCAGCCACAGGGATAGCAGGGGTGATCCTCATAGGGAGAAACCTACAAAACAAATGTTCTCTATCAAACTCTCAAATTATTAACTGGGAAAAGTAAAGTTACATCTCACTCTTGTCTGGGATCACCAGAATTGATATGAATGAAGACTAGAAAAGCTAATATGCAGCAACAGAACAAGGGACTAGTTTAATTTTAGCAAACAGAAGATCAGGGGACTGCAGTCTAAATGTGGGAACAAAATTCAGTCTTCAACAGCACAGACAAAGGTATAGTAACTGCTAATGGCTCAAAGCTGAAGCCCAACACATTCAGCATAGACTTCTTTTTTTTAATGTAACAGCAATTAACCACTGTGATGGTTTGCCAAAGATTATGGAAACATTTAAGACAAGAATGGACGCTTTTTGCAAAGATACTCTGGTTCAAAGACAAAGGAAATGAAAGAAATCCTTGGCTCTGTGTTCAATGGAAGGACAGATTAACTATTCATGAAGATTCATTCTGACTTCACGATCTATACATCTTTGAAATATAAGGCAATACAACTCATATGGCAAGGATTTTATTTTCTTTCAGGGAAAATTTTCCTTTGAGGTGCTTCAGATGTAAAGCAAATCAGTAATGACCTCTAGATACACATTTACTGGCTATGAGTTGATTGAAGACTTTTCTTCAATGCTTCTTACAGCAAGTGAATCAGACAACCTCTGACTCCGGTTTACTTCTTTGGATGAGCTGTACCTGCTGTCTAACCACACTCCTACAGACTCACCCTTGCTCTCTGCACCAATTTATGTCGGATTTCTAAAGCAGGGATTTTTGAAAATATGCATGAACCTGCCAAAGCCAGACTTTGTGAAGCAGAATTTTAGTTCAGCATGTCTCACTACACAGAGACACTGCAGGAAGTTCATATGTTTAACTTCGTTAGTCACATCTTAACAAATGTCTTCTGTGGAGTTTAGGTCATTTTTCCAATGAGTGACACTTATCAACAAATTGGAAAGTACCCAGGCTCAGAGAGCACGTTCTACAGTAATCATGTCAAGACAAAGATTTGTTTCAGCATCTCATCAGACAAAGAGTCTTATAATGACTTATACATGCTTATAAGTATGTAACAGTCCTTTTCAACATTGGTTGAAATGGGCTGACACAGGATTGTACACAATTTTGGCAATTTCTGAAGACACTGAAACTTCAATACTGGCACTTTTAAGAGCTTTATCTACAAGAGAAATAGGTTTCTTATCAGAACATCTGCATTTCCACACTAGGACTTCTTCACTTATTCTTATTTTTTTCCTTTCCAACAGCTTGACCTGCCCTCCACACAACTGGACAAGCATTTTCTTTTCCTCTGAAAGTTTTGGTGGTGTGTCATCTATTAAAAAACCTCTATAGTTCTTAGCTATTCTGCCACTGATAAAAATAAATATATTAATTACAGTCAGCTGAAATACACATCATCACATCGTGTCGAAATTCATGAAAACACTTGAATGCTATTTTCCAAATCTTACTTTTTGTGGTCTAAAATATCCATCAGCACACATTTCACAGTTGATCCCAGTAGTATGTTGAGTACAGTTTAAACACACACCACCTCCTATGTACTGGCCATGAACATCCATGCTCTTTTTCTGATCTGCAATACTCTGATTGTAGTAACAATCTTCTGCTTTGTTATGACAGTTGCACTCTGAGAAGGAATGGAAGAGAAATCGATACTTATTTACATTGTATAACAGTTCCTACAACTAACATTTTTCAAAGTGAAAAACCTAAGTACAAGGGCATATCAATTCATCTCAAAAGTGTGCTTTTTTTCCCTTTAACCATGCTATGTGCTTCAGATCTCTTGATACACTGTATTTCTTAGCAGATTTCAAAACAACTGTCACCACTCTAACAGCACTGATTTTAACACTATCCTGTAGATCCCACTAAGACAGCCCTGTCAGGACTGATGTCGATAGTGACGTGTGCTGTTAGCAATCACTGTTCCTTCACTTTGTCCTCTGCATTGCAGAAGAAAATCTGCTTAATTCTTCTCTTATTTTATTATAGAAAAAAGTCTGAGAAGTGAACAATGCCAGTACGCAAGTATGAATTTGATTTAGATTAGAGGATACAGTCAGTCCAGGCAGTCATAGCCACTTACTTTCTGAAAAGCGACATTAAGACTTGTATAAAGACTTCAACTACAAAGACTACTTTTCCATTCACAACTGTAAATTTTATCTAATAGGTTCTGAATTGTCTGCAGCTTGTGCTATGCATTAGCGATGTGAAGAGAGAAAAGGCACTAACTAGCCCTAGCAACACATTCAGCCATACTGGCACAGCTTAAGTCAATCTGAAATGTAATTGCCCAATAAGGAGTTTCTTTCAAAACCTTTGTTATCAGAACAAAGTTGTTTATCTGACAAAAATTATGATCAATGTAAGAAATTTGCATTTCAAGTAGCTAAGAAAATGATTGATGCAAATTTGCTAGTTTTTACAGGAGTGTAATAAATCCCCAAGTCTCTTTGAAAAAGAGACTCTGAAAGCTTTACTGCACAAAGACCTCACTAGCCAGGGAGTCATACTGGATAGAATATTTTAAATTATCTTAACTGTTACGATTAGAAGTAAGTCCTCTATGTATAAACAATCCCATGAAGACAGTTAATAGTTTGTGGATTTTTCTTGGTTGGGTATTAGTATAGATCTTTATGAAAAGCAACCTCAAATAAGAAAATAAGCCTTTAGGAAACTACCTCTGCATACTTACTCTCACATTTGTTCCCAGCAGAAATGGTTCCTGGTCTCCATGGCTTCTGGTGGTAGCCTGGACAGCACTTGTTACAGCTCTCTCCACATGTGTTGTGTTCACACTGGCACTGCAATTTCTAATAATAAAAAAATCGCTTTCTTGAAATATTTTTAATGAATAATAACGTTGCTAAAAGTCTGCCTAATAACAGACTTACTCTAAAGAACGTCAAGACCCACAAATACCCCACAATTAGCATTACACTGCTCAACCATGCTGATTCAACTATTGAGGAATAGCCTTTCTAGAAGAGGAGGGACAAATCTCCTGTGTTGCAAGAGATACTATTTCTTGTTTTGCCCCTTAAATTGTTTAAATTTAATGCCAAAGGAAAAGAGTTGATACTTCAAGAAAACTACATTACTAGAGACCTAGATATGCTTGCACAGGAAAGGAAGAAAATTATAGCAAATAATTTGTGTGCACCATATTGTAAGATCTCTTTTAGCCTTCTCCTCTTTCTCAATCTCCTTAGGCAAAGTCCTTTTTTTTGTATATACTGGAAAAGTTGTTTTGTGAAAATAAATTAATGAGATTAAAGAATACCTTTGTGATTTCATCCAGAGGGCAGCTTCGAGCATGGCCATAACAAATACACATACCACCAACAGAGATGTCTTTTATTGAATAGTAGTACTACAAAAAACACAGTTGAAAAAAGTATGAATGAAAGACTTTTACATGTTCCCTCCTCCCTCTAGAAAATAAAATACCAGCATTCCACTATTCTGTGACTTGAAAAATAAAAGAAATACTTGAAAACAAAAAGAAGCTTTGAATTTTTGCCACTTTGGGAAACCTTCCACTTTGTGGCTTCCCCCTCCCCACCATGTTTTTCCTCACTGGTATGAAACAATAACTGACTTCTAACTTCAAACAAGTATGCACAATTCCTTGGCTTCAGGGAAGACCACCAAATGTGACCTCAGCCAAAATTTACTTGTAAAAAGAAATCACTTTTTCACCCTATAAGCAGCCATGAAGCATAAGAAATTGCTTTATTTTAATTTCAGTCTGGGGAGTAAGAACATGCTTTCTTAAAATGGGAGGAACTCTGCCCTTCTTTAAAACCAGTCTGCGCACTCACTTCCAGACCAGCTCTTTGCTACTGGTGTGTAGGCAGTGTATTATTCTACCCAAATTCTTAGCTTAAAAATTAGTGATACAGCAGTGTACAATCCATTAATATTGCCAGGAGTTGAGCAAAAGCAACACACATAAGGAAAGGATTTAATTTTCAAGGCAAGGAAGAGGCAGGAAATGACCATCTGGGTTCAGTTACAGCTGCAGTATCAACATGGTTGGCCTGTTTGTATCCTGGGAAGTATGTACTACAGGGGAATGAAAAAGAAACACTTTTTGAGTATGCTTCTAAGGAAAGAGTTCAAGGCTCTCAGACCTAATAACCCCGCAGTCATCTGGTTGAGAAAAAGGTGGTGGCCCTGGGTGGTCAGACATGCTGACTCCTGGACTGTTATTTCTTTGAAGATCTTGGAACTGGAGCAAACTAGCCTCTTTGATTTCATACATAATTTTTTAATTTTTTTTTTAATTATATTTAGTATTTTAGTAATTTTTGTTGATGTTATGGGTTTGAGTTACAAAAAACATTCAAGGAGTTATCATGAAGAGCAGGTCCTTAACTACAGAGAAGCAGGTTTGGACTGAGAAAAGCGGGAGGACAAAAGCAGAGCTGTATTTCTCACTGCATTCCCTGCTTCATCTCCTTTGTCTTGTTTTCTTAAAACTCACGGTGTATGGCCCACAGCAGCTGTGTGCAGCTTGAAGTTGATTGAAAGACCAATGCTAATGAAATCTACAGACAGAAATAAATAAATAAGCAGAATACAGAAATAAAGGTGCTGTTGAATGCTTCGAAACGTTCTGTATCAGCCCTTGTACAAGAAACTAAAAACAATTGGTAAAGTCTTCAAAAATAACAAAAACACAATCCAGAAAGCTGGAAGTTATTACCTTGGTTGTAGTAGGTTTGCACAGTGAGACACAAGGTAAGATACTGGGATTTGGGAATGCTGCTCAATAAAAGCCACATCTTGTGAAGCTGAAGATGTGTAGCTTTTCATGCAAAACTGGACTAAGCAGTGCCCACTGGGGTAGTACTGAGCCCTGGATTGCACACCTGTGTGTGTTACAAAAGCACTGGGAATGCTTGGCCTCAACACCTTTGTTTCCCAGCTGTGTGTTTGTATGCTTCCACATTGAGCCTTTCTTTTTGGGGAATATTTCTTGATATTACAATACTACAACAGACCTAAAAGTGAACCAGCCTGCTCCACAGGAACATTTCATGTGCTCAGGCTGCGCATTAACCATTTCTGTATAGCCAGCAAGGCACAGCTGGAACAGCTGTCTAATACTCTGCTCTTGCTGTCTCCATGCTAGCAATTCCCATATGGGGCAAAGAGAACAGGCAGAACATCCAGATTTTATGCACGAGAATTCCTGCAGCTGAATGGGCATCTCCACAGCCAAGGTAAGAGTGGGACTGCCTTGAAAGTACCCACCAAACCCTGACCAAATCCCTTTCTCCTTTCTGCACCCAGCTATCCAGCTGGACCTCACAGAAGCAGTGTCAATGAACAAGGATTGCCTGTACTAGAGAAGCCACAGATTGCAAGAGTCCTGTTGCTGTGCAAGGAAGAGTTGCCTGTGGTTGTTCTTAAGGCCAAGAGCTACAAAGGAAGGGGAAGAGGAAACGCTTCTCATTCTTCTGTCCTCATCAGAAAGTCTGCCTTCATAGAAAACTTGAAGTAGCTGATGTCTTAATCTATGGGTCTCAGGAGAGGGTCAAAACGACAAAACATGAAGCAGAACCATGCAGAAGAGTTAGTCGTTACAGTTACTGTTATTAGGGGCCCCAACACCAAATTTCTGTGAGAGCTTGAAGAAGTCAGCGTAAGTGCTTGGTGCCTCAATTTCCCCAGTTTCAGTATCAAATGTGTAAAAAGATCAGTTAATACTCTCAGAATTCTATTCAAGTGTTTTACATTATTATTAATTCATGGGCTCTAAAACAATTGATTACAACACCCTTAAAAAAATTAAGAAAACTCTCACCAGACACTAAAATTCACAATGTCAAGGTTTTCAAATAATTATTTTTATGAACCAGAGCACTGGGTCCTGAAATCCTTGATACATCAGAAAAAGTACTGCAGTTGCATCAAGAGCAACCTCAAGTGACATCTCCATCAGCCAAACCATATTTATTTGATGACAAAGCATTATAAATACACGTTTACTAGCATAATCATTTACACAAACAAATAAAACAAAGAGCAAACAAATAAAAAACAATCTCTAAACAGCATTTTTTCGAAGTTGTTTCTGACAAGGTGGTGTTGTTAATAACATCAAAGGGAGGGCAAGTATTATGTAACAGCCTACCAAAACAACTCTGTGCATGGCAAGCATCAAGTACTGCCTCCTCCACAAACAGATCAGCAAAGGCTCTCCCATCGAGTCATACTGAATAAGGTTTATGAACAATCAGCTTACCCTTCTGGTAACAATGGGGTCTAGTTCTTTAGGATCATTATGGCTGAGAGTCATGAGGTCAGCATTAAGTGTTCTAATACGCTGCAGTCGTAGGCGAATGTACCGTGCAGAAGTAAACTCCAAAAGCTTTTGTGAAGGATCATCAGCGCTAGGCCTCCCGTTGATCAGTGATGTGTGAATCTAGAGAGAGAGACTGGCTTAAATCATAAACATAATTGTGATTCATTTGCAACAACAAACAGCTTAGCGCGAGAATTAAAAACATAGAACTTGAGCCTGTTTTCCAACAACTCAGGATGGAGAGATGTTCAACTACTCCGAACTCTTTTTTCTTCCCCATCTTCTATCTGCAAGTAGAATTCCTGCTTCCTGACTCACGCAGTTCTGAAACCACCACCTCTCAGCTCATCGTAGTCCAAACTTGGGGAGATGGCATAAAGAGAAAAACAGTACCACAAGCTAGTCCTCAGTTCCTCCAGTCTTCCTCCCTCTCCCTTATTGAGATGGAAAATGTAACTCTGGCCACAAGCACAGTTTTGTCCTTACAAATAGCTCCTCTGCAATTTGTAAAGATCTTATTGCAAAACATAATATGGTGCAAATGCTCAGTCTGGGGTCATTAATCCTATGCCTGGCTGGGACAGGGCTGCCCAAGCAGCAAGGAGTACTCAGTGACACGAGAGCATGAGAGCACAGTGGGAAGCCACAACACAGGTGACAACTGAAAGCAAAGGGCTACCACCACAAACCAATGCATCTGGCTCCGTCTTTCTCACACAATCCCAACTAGCCTCACTAAGATGGCTTTTAGTATTGAGCTGCACAACTTATTCTGGCAACAGCCCCTTCCTTCTTTACAAAGCAAGAGCACACAAGGATTTAGCCTCATATGACCATGTGGCTCCTGTTCCATTTTATGGAAATAACTTAAAAATGAGACCCTACAGACCACAAATAATTGTTAAACGGTTCACCTTGTGTTCACCACAAACAATGGATCATGCTTTGGGCTTGTCAGCTACATTTTAGACTGCATGACATATCCTCATTTATGAAGAGTAATTTTGTCTTGTATACTACTCTTGAACTTATAGTTCCAACTTTGTCAAGTACTGTCAAATTGTTCCTCTAAAAATATTGCTAATTATTAAAGAGTTTCTTAATAATTAATTAATTGCTATTATTTAAGTTATTATTAAATTATTTTATAATTCTGTAGTGGAGCTAGGAGCTTCCTGGACAGTAACTATGTTATTTCAAAGACATACAAACAGAGACTGGTAATGGAGTTCACACTCCCAATGTTATAATTTTGCCATTTATGGGCTATCACCACTCCTAAATATTGTTATACACTGTGTTCAAGGAATTTCACTTTTCTAACAGCCCATTCAGAAACTAACCATCATCCATTTTCCAACTGCAGAATAACAGTTATGAAACCCAAAACTTTTTCCAGGTCCAATCCTGCAAATTAAACACCACCTTACATAGAATCAAAGAGTCATAGAATTATTTTGGTTGGAAAAGACCTTTAAGATCATCAGGTCCAACCATTACCCTAACACTACCAAGCCCACCACTAAACCATGTCCCTAAGCACCACATCTATACATCTTTTGAACACCTCCAGGGATGAAGACATATAATATTCAGCTCTCACAGAAACACAGAGAATTCTTCTAGTCCATTTCCTACCTCAAAGCACAGTTTACCACATTTTTGTTAGATGTTTGACCAATGTGTTCTTGAAAACCACTATTTGTGGTGACTCTATAATCCTCCAAGACAATTTATTCCAGCCCTTTTTGGCTTTATTGTTAGAAATGCTCCTAATCTCTATATCACGTTTTCCTTGTTGCAGTTTCAGACCACTTCTTCCATCCTGTCACAGGCATGCAGAACAGATTATCCCTCCTTTTACCTGTGTTTTATGCAACTGAAGACTGAACATGCCCACTCCATTTCAGTCTGTTCTCTCTAGGCAAACTGGTTACGATATATTCATTCACAAGTCATGTTTTCTGCTGTGAATTACAAGGCACAATTGTTGGCCAAATATTCAAATATCACTGCACTACTTCCACTAAAAAAAAAATACATATATACTCATAACAGAGGAACTCAACTTTAGTATGGAGCACCACCTCCTACTCTCATTTACCCTTAACTACAGGTGTAGAACTTGCTGGACTTAGTGCAATCCTTTGATTTTCACAATGAAGAGAGAAGGACCCAACCACAGCGTTGGGAGTTCTAGCATGTTGTGTTTCCTTTTTGTCACTTAGACTCCAGAGATTCAAAGATCCAAAAAGGCCTGGTATAACCTCACCTCCTGTGTGACACCATTTCATTTGACACAGTCTTTCCTGTCTAAATTTCCAATTCTCTGGTAATACACGCTTTCTCTACTCATGAACAGTGCCTTCAAGTGTTGAAATGTCAAACGTTATTCATATTTTAACTCTAAAGTTATCTACTGGCTTGACCAGTAGAAATTCTGTAATAATACCCTATAATTACTACAGAGATAGAAGAATCTTTCCTAGCAGAAAAAGGAAGAAATAGTAGGGATAGAGATTAAGACACTAAGGAAGAAAAAGAACGGTTCCCCATGTACACTGCTGTATTTGTCTAATATATTGCTTGTATATACTGATATATTTGTATCATACATTTTTGGCTTCCTTGTCCTCCATAATTCAAGACCATTTCCAAACAACTGTAGTTTAAGCCTTGGAATTCATCATAAGCCCTGACTTCATTATGTAAATTCCTGGAAGCAGGTCTTCAAGCAGTATAAATCATGTAAACAACAGCGCTTATAGTACAGCAGCTATACCCCTTCAAACTTGTGAAAAATCTAGCAACCAAACTGGCAAAACGTCTGATTTGGAAAAAAAAAACAGTTTTTTGTCACTTAGGTGACATCCATATTTAGACATGCGGTCTTTTTACCCTACCAGTTCTTTCACACCAGGGCATTACAAGCTGGCTGCAGAACACTGGGATGCTAACAAATGCTGGATACAAGGCAGGCACTTGTAGAGACCAGCTGGTCTGCAGGACTTCCTATAGACCCCCACTTAAGTTCAATAGGTTGGCCAGAACCAATTACAGAGTACTAAATATTATCTATTTCCAAAAGGGTCCCAAGATTCACTAATACAGGTTGTGAGATATTTTGTGCAGGGAACATTCCGGTCTGCCATTCCAGTTATGAAAAAGCAGCCTGTCCTTTGTGAATGACAGCTTTTATGGGGGAGTGTTGATCTGCTGGAGGGTAGGAAGGCTCTACAGAGGGATCTGGGCAGACTGCATCGATGGGCCAAAGCCAATTGCATGAGGTTCAAAAAATGTTGAGTTTTGGGCCCCTCACTGCAAGACAGACACCGAGGCATGGGAGCGTGTCCAGAGAAGGGCAGGGAAGCTGGTGAAGGGTCTGGAGCACAGGTCTGATGAGGAGCGGCTGAGGGAACTGGGGGGGTTCAACCTGGAGGAGAGGAGGCTGAGGGGAGACCTGATCGCTCTCTGCAGCTACCTGAGAGGAGGCTGTAGCCAGGTGGGGGTCAGTCTCTTCCAAGTAACAAGCGATAGGACAAGAGGAAACGGCCCCAAGTTGCACCAGGGGAGGTTTAGAGTGGTCATTAGGAAAAATTTCTTTATTGAAAGGGTTGTTAAAGCATTGGAACAGGCTGCCCAGGGAAGTGGTTGAGTCACCATCCCTGGAGGTATTAAAGAGACATGTAGAGGTGGTGCTTAGGGACATGGTTTAGTGGTGGCTCAGCAGTGCTAGATTAACAATTGGACTCTAAAGGTCTTTTCCAGCCTAAATGATTCTATGATTCTGTGTAGTACACAGTCATTTAATTCTGTCATTATTTATGTTCTTACATTTTTATGTTACTGCACTCAGAAAAAAAAAAAAAAACAATATTTTGGATAGTGTCACAGAATTAATTAATTCTGTGTACAGCAGCAAAAAAATGATAAAAAACCGTCACTAAACTGAATCGCTGGCATTCCTGGGTTTGGAGTTTTATGGCCTATGAGACACACATTACAAAAGGCACTGTACATATAGAGTCAACCTAAGGGTTTTCTGGTGAATTCTGTGGAGAGACAGGTTAAGTTTCCTTGTCAGTTCCATCTGATCTGTGGGGCATATGTTTACATCACTGCAATAAAATTTGATTAAAGTGAATGGGACTTGATGTTACTGCATTTTATCGGGTTTTTTCTTGCTGAAACATAGTTCTAAGTTTACATGAAAGTTTGACGCACTTTAGCCCTTAGCTGCACACACTCCAGTCTTTTTTTAACCAATAAATAAAACCATATTGTCTTCTATTAAGCTAAGAGTTACTAGCATTCTCCATGGGATAACACTGTATTTATTATCATGCTCTTACATTATAGCATTCACAATAGAATAACTGCTGGTTTTAAAGTATCATTGCATTATATGGCTGCCTCTATATAATAAATTACACAAGTACCATGAATAGAGTTTGTTAAAAGAAAGAACAATCAACAGTGAGGCTGCACAACTCGTAACTCTTAATTATGCTACAACCCTGAAACAATGCCAAGGCTTGTTTAGGAGTTCCAGCTGTGCTGAGCACTTCAACAGTGTTTGCAGCTTTATCTAACACAACCAGGTGTTCCTAACACAGGGGTTTTCTTTATCAAATGAAAAGCCTGGCAAAACACAGCGCCTCTGTTATAGTCCTTCAGGATAAAGTCACTAATAATTCACAGCTAATAGCTACCATCAAATTATGTGGTGAGAGAGAACAAAGAGTTCCGTAATAGGAATATGTAGAGCCAAAGACATGTTTCATCCCAACTTTTAAAAGTTTGCTATACTGGTACATGGTGTAAAGATAGTATCATTAAAGAAGAATAACAGATCATCTGGTAGTGCTGAGGGCGGTGAACTCTGCCATCTGAATGTTTTCCGATTGCTATCAGTCCATGTCCTTACAAACCACAAGTGCAAAACCAAACATACCTCTCCATGTTCCAGGGGAACTAGTCTGGAATAATAGGAGGTGCAGATCACTTCATCATCTCTCTTGTAAGTTGGTGGCCCAATTCTTGGCGTAATATTGTAACGAGTTAAACATTCGGTATCACTAATTGCATAGTACTGCCATGGTCTGAACTCTGTGCCATCTAAAGAGCGTTCCAAAATCCAGTTTCCAGGTCGTGGAGCATTAGCAGCTTTGATGATGACATATGCAACTTGAAAGACCTAAAAAAAATGCAAGAAAAAAATTTTAACACTTCATTATGCTTCATTAACACCCATAGACGCCAATTGGGTACTACAGAGTTTGAGTGGGGAGAGCCTAAAATTTGGTGCACTGACTCTGGATAAATTTTTTGCACAAACTTTTGACAAAAGGCAGTCTAATCTTTTCCTAACAGAAATATGTATCTTTTTGTCAAACCCCTAAATATTACAATAAAATACTTGTTTATATGATTAAGAGAGACAATGTACTCAGTGCATCATTCTGTGTTAATTTAATAGCTGAAATCTCTATCTACACTGTACATTTCAGGATTACTTGGGTGTAACATTCTTTCTATGGGAAATGTGCTATTTAGCTTTTCTGAACCACTGAGGGCTTCAAAGTAGCAGTTGGTTTTTTTCAAAACAGCTGCAGACCAAACAACTCTTTGTTTCTCATTTTAGCTGGGAGTTTAATCCTCTCAGTAATAGCATTTCTGATAAGCTTTTTACACCCTATATTAAAAACCTCTGTGCATTCCATTCTCATTCTGAAGTTATTTAAGCAGAAGACTACTTACAGACACTAAAAACACACAGAGACAGTAAGATGAATGTAACAAACACAAGTATGATAACCTTGAAGAACAGCACTTCTTAAGAGGTGTACTCTCTAATCTAATCAGGCATATTGACTATTTTGTTAACAGTCCTGGGTCCAAAGTGAAATCTCTATCCACACAACAGCACTGTTCAGCACTTCTGTGAGTAGGCAGGCCAGTAATTAAGTTTACATCACTTTTAAACGACCTTGTCATGGCAGCTACATAACCTGCACTGGCCCCCAACTAGCTACAGCATTAGAGGGAAACACTGAAGTGCACCTACTGCAAAGCTACTATCTTTTTCCATACCTGACACCTACCAGATCAGCTCACTTAAAAAAGCTGTCTTTGCAAATTGATAAGACTTCTCTATAGGAGTTTCGTGTTTTATATGCACTATAGTATCAAGCCAGAATTAGATGAAAGAAAAATGCTGTATTATTCAACCATCTCAGAGGTATGCGTTCTCACTTGAGCAGACTGCCCAGTCAGCTGGTATAATCATCATAATTCCTGTCTGCATGTGCAGTATTAATAGTGTTGAGCTCCAATTTAGCCACAATCAGTTCTTTCAGACATTTCAATTTTTTAAGGTTGGTTTTCTTCGCAATACAGATTAAAGCCAGAGCAAAAATAGCACCTGCCACATAAAAGTAGATTTTAATTTTATCAAATGGGGAAATAAACACGCAGAGATAAATAGTGGCTGCATCGTGGGCAATTCAGGAAATGTTTTGAAACAAAACATTCTTTAAGTGAAAAGAGCTTTGCTTAGGAGATCTTGCAGGCATGAAAAGGAAAAAAAAAATTGGTGGTACTTATCTTCAAATGACTTATAGATTTAATACCTTAAAAAAGGTCAAACAATCTCAGTTTTGATAAAAGCAGATGTAATTTAAATCATGATATTTAGCTGGTGTGATTTTCTTTTCAGGCATTGCAGTTTTATCCTTTAAGACACCATACATGCACAAACTGAACATTTCCAGTTGTTTCAATAAATAGGAAAATTTACATAAACTGAGGATTTTGACTACTGACTTATATGACATTTTAGCAATGCAAGCAGAAGTAAACAAAAAGCAGCCAGCTCGCTGTTTAGTCATAGTCTTACAATCTTAGAAATAAAATTTCTCTCGGGTCTGTGAATCCTCTGTTGTCCAACACAACCTTAAAATTTGATCTAAGTTAAGTGAATACCAAGAATCATAATCCAGTTTCCATGAAGAGAAGAGCCCCTTCTAAATAAAACTTACACCATGACACAAGCTCCAACTGAAAAAAAAAAAAAAAATACTAAAATACATGCTATTAAACGAAAAAGAACAGAATTTGGCAGACTCCAAGTCAAGTAACTGTATTCCCTGCATACAACCTGGATTTCATTGATTCAGTTATCAATAGTTGAGTTATAGAGCTGTTTTGTGCTAGATTATGCACAAGCAGAATCTGGGGTATCATCATTTCAGTACCCCTAACCTGAAGACACTTGTATGTGACAAGAGTCACTTGTAAGGATATTTCCTTCATCACAGAAGAGAACTGCAGAACTCTATTAAAACTCGGAAGTTTTATTCACTGAGCTCAGCAACTGCTATGCACCTCCAAGTTCCTTTGAAGTCAATCACCTCTCTCAAATGCTTAAAAGATGAAAGAACAGAACTCAAATTTTTTTCAAATGCCATGGTAGACAATTTTCCTCAAAACCTCAATTCTTATTTATTTATTTTTTCTCTGCTTGCTGTCATCAACTAAACTACTTCCCTACTTATTACACAGTTGGCTGAACAACAAATAATCTACTTTTGATTACACTGGGATTTTTCAGGACCCATTATAGTCTGCAGCTGATGTAGCTAGTTTTAAATCCAGTTCCAACTAGTAACAATGAGCTATCCTTCATCACAAACTAACTGCAGCCACTGCTGCAGAAATAAAATATATTCACATGAGTAACCAGGTTAAATTTATTTTAAATATCAAGTTTCTTGGTGAGGGGAGAGATAAGGGAAAAGCCATTTAAAGATAAAAATTTTCACAGCAACTGTGCACCTTCAATGCACAATTCAATAAATTAAATCTCAGGTCAACATTTTTCCAGAAAAACAGCAGCCATATTTGGTTATCAAGACACGTAGGGATTTACTTTTCCTGCATGCCTACAGTTCACCAACAGCTGAAATAAAGATAATTGACACTAAGAACAAAAAAAAGAGGCATTCAAAAGTCAGTGAATAGTTATATAAACATTTAAGTATGCATAGTAGAAAACCATTAACCTTCTTTTCTCCCAGATCCTCTGAACTCTCTTCCACTTACATACATAGCCCATGGGTACCCAAAATGCTTCCCAGGACAAAAAAAATAGGTAGCTTCCCAGGATAATAAATATCAGCAAAAACTGAAATAACATAGGTTAAATATAGAAACAAAAGGATTTCATATAAATGCTCCTGCAGCCAAGAAGTCACAAGGCAACCTATCGGCAGGAGTTATATGCCCAGGGATTATGTTCCCAGACAAAGGAATGAAGCTGGAGGAAGAGATTAAGGTGTTCCCAGTGTCTGCAGATGAAGACGTTTTAAGCAATGTCAGCAGGCAGGGGTTTCATAGACCTCATATCCCGCAGCCTCTGCAACCCAATACGGATCCGAACCAGGAGCTCCATGTAATGCAAGCTGATTTTCCAACATCCCTACAGTACTTGTTTACAGATTTTTACTTTTATAAATTCTTTGGGTTTGAACATCACCAAAGGTGGCTTCTTACCTCCTTCCACATCCATTCAGTGTCCACCAACCAGCCACGTGATAAACTTCAGCTGTGTGGCAAGAACTAATGATTTGTACACTTTAGCCTGACTGTACAGCTTTCCCAGAACTCGTTTCCTTACTGAGCTACAAGAGTAAAAAGGTTAAGCCAAAGCAAGTTAGCAATTCCCAAGCAGCCGTAAACTAAAGGTGTCATTTTACAGGCATTTCAGTCCTGCAAAAACCAGCCAAATAAATTGGTACTGAATAACCTCTTCTTCACAGCAGCAATACCAACATTAACAAGTCACTTCTGCTTTATTTAGTCTTTTTAACAACCTTGTTTCCCTGAATGCAGATCCAGCAACACCAAGTGCATTAATTCTTGAAACAGATTTATAAACAAACCCTTCTTCCCATTCATCAGGAAATTTTGCATTTTTTTTGCTCAAGACTGTAAACTCAGCCAGCAGTGGTCACGCAGCAGATGCTAGCCAAAAGTCCCTGTTTCCAAGGTCATGGTCAGGGCTCTTACAACCCGCACAGATACGTGCCCTGGCAAGCAGTTTTCCTAAAAGTCTGTTTGGATCAAGACTCACAGTTATACTTTTCAATTTGCACAAATCGAGACAACAATAAAGGAAGATTCTGTCTTTTCATATCTATGAGTATTTGAGCTCCAGGTTTCAAAAGTGGAAAGTTAACGGGAATGATGAGTCCCAACACATTTTTTTTTCCTAAATTTTAGAAATGTTTAAGCTATTAAGAACAGAAGTACGAACTTCTACTCCAAGTCTACACCCCAATTCAAATCCAAACTCTACCTGACCTTGAAACAACCCGAGAGGAGGATACGATTTTAGGTCCTCAGGATGACTTTCAGTGTCCCATTGCACATGTTACTGAAATCACACTGACAGAACATAAACCATATAATGCAGAAGACTGAAAAATAAAAAAGCGTGGAGGAAAGCAAGGCTCTCGGCAGACCGGTTCCTCCCAGTTTTATAAATTCAGCTATATCTTTCCTTCAGGATGAGTGCAGAAAAGGAATCAAAAAAACAGAAGGGAATCAAAAAAACAGCTAGGTATGTTGTTCAAAGTAGAATGATAAGTTCTGTGGAGAAAATACAACTAACATTACTCTGCATTTTAAGTGAAACTGCAAAATCTATTCTGTTTAGGGCTGTCAACACAGTAAAACCTTGTTAACAGAAAAGCCTCTTTTTCCCAGATTCTGTTTTATTGACCAAAAATTTTAAAATTAATCTGTGCAGACTCTCAAATAGTAGACAACTACACAAAGGGATCAGCCTATACTGTTCACAGAAATGTTTTTTTAAGGGATAAAGATGGCTTCAGGCTCTTATTAGAGACTGTGAGGCCTAGCAATTGCTTGCAATACTTGCTTTGAGGAGCTTGTGATGTTAAAAGTGCAAAATAAACTAAATCCAGTAGAATTTCTAGTCTCCTGAATTATCTTTTCTTTAAGATTTTGATTCATTATGTTTCGGTATTTGGTATGTTCATTATCCACTGTTTTGGAATAGAAGAAAAATTTATTTTACTCAAGAAGCATATTGCAAGAACGTACAGACGAGCACCCTGAATCTTGCATCATCAGTTTTACAAAGCCACAAAAGGCTTTTAAGGAAGCTTGCCACATAAAATAAATTAGCACTGATCCAGTGAAGTCAACAGAAAAATACATTTTACATCAGCAAAGGATTCACCCTTACAAAAATCTCTTCTTGCCAACTGATTTAAGGATAAAAGCTCTGTACAAATCATATTATAATATTTACATTCTTTTTTACTTCCTAATAGCAGAAACTACAAATTACTCTTACATCAGTCTCTGAGCGGTAATCCAGTACTCACGAAATATTCATGAGCTACGACTTAATCAGAAGTGGAGATGTTTTCTCAACTTGATAGTATGGGTCTTACAAGAACAATCCATCTTGCTTTACAATTGAAGAACTTCGTTATATACAAACTTGTGTCTTTCTGCTATGCCTAGTACAAAGTACCCTTAAGTACCTTTAAAAGTCTGAAGCGTGGTAATAAAACTGAGGAAAGTATTCTTCATTTAATGGTGTGACAGAGAATTATTTTACAGCTGGCCCAAGCACACTGCTGACATTTGTAAGAGTCAGCACTTATTTTAATTCATTATAATTTCATAAAGTAGCTATCCAGAGGAGTCAAACTCCAGCAAAAATGCTGTTTTTATCTAAGAATGCTGCTGCATGTTTTGTTTCTGTGGAATTGCCAGCATAGGAAGCACAAGGTCATAAATCAAATCTTGGTATCTTGTACATCAATACTACACCTCATTGCTAAACTACTCCTTCCACAGTTCTGGATCTTTGCCATACATTTAATGGAAAGGGAAGAAAAAAAAAAAGGGAAGACTATCATACATCTGGATCCTGGAAAGACTGAAAAGCACACCAGAATACACATACCTAGTTGTTACAAACCACATGAGCTAAAAATGATGAGGTACCCACTGGCTACCCTCACGAAACGCTTCGTATTAGTTATAAATAGCACAGACTCTGCAAAGGAGAAAGATCAAACCACCACTTTTGATACTGATTCTGTTAGCCAGCCTTCTTTTCTTAATGAGATTCCATCAAACTGCTCTTCAGTACAGATTTTTTTAGACTAAATAAACTAGGTGCAAGGCAGAATATTAGCTGAAAGAACATCCTCTCCTCCTTTCAAATTTGAGCCAAGAGATGAATACAGCCAAATACAGGACACAAACTGTGGCCAGAACTTCACCTAGGGTAAATTGCAATGGAGCCAGTTTTCACCAGCTACAGGAGTCTTCCCCGTATCTGCCAGCCAAGGCAATGTTCCAGCACTCGCCAATCTGACAGCTGGATATGTCTAAACTGTACATTGGTAACAATCCTAAGAAACAATCCATTCCTCTTACTGCTAGAACATCTGGTAATCACTCAAAAAACATAAATAATGACCAGATGGTCATTCTTCACATCACAAAAGGGTGTGAATATATTTTATATTCTGGCAAGGAAAGTTAAAGGACATACTTACTTTAATATGCTACTTGACAGACTTAATGCACCAAGCTTGAAATGTAAAAAAAAAGTACCACTGCTAAAGATACATGTGTTGCAGTATAGTTACAGGTACTGCCTTTCAGGAATAGTTTTGAAGGCCCTAGAAGAGTACTTTAACTAATTCTCAAGCAAATTTATGAAGTAAACAGTAAGTAAAACCACTAAGGTCCTTAATACAATTTTCTTTTTTGTTTTCTTTACTTGTGCTGACTCGCTTAAAGTAAGCACACCAAGTCAGCTCTAATAACTCATTGACTTCAAGCGATCTCTATTAACCAAATCCTTTCTCACAGAGCAGTAATTTACATTCAGTTTGCATAGCCCTAGATGCCTTCTCTCTCTGAAACTCTAAGGAAAACACAGAAGAAAGGCCCCTTGGGGGAAACTTTTCAAATCGAATTAGTGAAACTGAGCGTGGGTCAAGAGAGGAAAGATGTGTATTTGGTGAAACATCAACAGTACTAAGGCTGGAGAATAAAAGATTTAGAGGGCAGCTCAGCTGGTCTGTTTCCAAAGGGAAAATGTTCTAGGAAGATAAAAACTAAGGCATTCCCCCTCCGCCTTCATTTTTCCTTCCTGTTTGTCCACTTACAAACCCATACAAAGCCAATTCTTCAAACAACAAGAAAGTCCTATCCAAACCTTCTGTCATTGACAAAAGATACCCTGTGATTATTTTTCTAACCATTCTGCTTTCTAATTAAAGAGCAAACTAAGCACTTGTTTAACCTATGCTTCACTTTAAAACATCAAAGTCAAACCTTCTATTTTAATCTTTAAAATAACTTTCAAGCAGGGTCTAGAAATCTTGCAAAAGCTTGTCACCAACTGTACACCTCAAGCATGCATTTCTTAGTAACAAAGCTTCTTCCAGAGTTTGGAAATATCCCCATATTAATGGATTGTTGAGCTACAATTTTCAAACAGCTTAGGTAGGCCAACACATAGATCTGTTCAAAGCAAAAGAACAAGAAGTCGTCATTTTCTTCCGAAATTATTTTGTCTTTTCTTGAAGCAGGGTAGGAGGCTTCTGATTCTTCCATATCTAACAGACAAACTAATAAATTGGCAAATGCTCTGCACAGTTTAGCAGCCTTATGCCTAAGAATGATGAATCCCTCCAAGTTTTGCCATGAAGTGCCAAAACAGAGGAACCAACAGACAGTTCCAGCCTCCCCAGGGTCAGAAATCACTGTTTTAGAGCTATAATCCCTAACTCTTCAGAACAACTGACAGCAAAAGTTCATAGAAGATATAATATAGAACATTTCTTCCCAGTGTTCCTTCCAACAGGATGGTGAAAGAGAACCGCAGAAAGTGGCAAATCAACTTTTCTCTCAGCAACACTAACTTTGCCCCATTTTATGTGTGTTTTGCCTTCTAATCCTGAAGGATATCATTCAGCTGAGGAAAGTCTGTGTTTCTAGGGCTCTGGAGAACCTGCAATTGAACTTTGACATTTTCTACTTTGATCTGACCATTATGTTGCATTAACATGTTTACATATTTAATGTAAATATACAAAAATACTGAGAAATTTAAACAGAAGAGTTTAACTTGAGATCTACTGTAAGATAACTGATGCAAGTAGAATAATCTTCCAGTCACTTACCTTTCTCTCCTCCTCTGAAACTCAGTATCTGAGTTACAATACCTACAGATCAAAAGAGTTCATATTCGGAAGTATATTGTGCTCTGTTTTCTTGCAGTAAACATCAAATGTTTCTCTACCATATCTTACTCCAAATCATTTACTCTTTTATTAAGAAACAACAATCAGGTGACAGGCTGATAATTATAAATAGAAACAGGTGCATCCTCACATATAAAATCTGCACTTGTGACAATACCCTAAAAACACTGTTTGCTGCTTGAAAATAAATCTTTGATAACTCAAACTTCAAGCATCCTGCACAAAAACAAAGGTGGAGGAAAATAATATTAGAGGACAGCAGGGTCAGGCAGAGGAATGTTATCAAGACAGAAGAAATGCCTGTGTAAACTCTCTCATCCACACATATAGAATTGTTACTGTGTCATGAATTACAACAACCTGTAACTTATATGCTTGCAAACATAGTCACTTCCACTCCAGTCAGATAGGAATGAAATCTCCAAGGTGCTACAGAACAAGAATTGAAAACCACATCTGTTTAAAAATTGGTTCATATTAGCTTTAACTATCCATGTTTAGTCGTACTAAATGGTTAACTACTAAATATCCTACCATCTAAACACAAAAGAACTGCAGTCAACTGTACTGAATTATATAAAAATAAAATAAATTATGCTCACCTAAGTGTAACTCACCTGCCTTAAATCCAAGGTGATGGTGACCCAGTGGTATTGCCTCCCATTCTGAATACTGGGACTTTGCCACCAGTTATTGGTACCATCGATTGCACTGGAAATTGGGTGCTGCTCTGTTTTTAAAGCAAAAAATTAAACATCTCTTAAAAACAGATCTCACTGCATTTTCTCTGACCCTGCACATTTATTTCACACTGAGCACACGATAAAGAAGTAAAAGCTGAAATCTGCCCCCAGACAAAATGGCTGTCATTGGTGCTTAATGGTGATTTAAGGTGCTCATGCTTTCTGTCAGCCCTTCGCTCAAAGGTAGTTTGACTCATGTAGTAGAGAGGCTAAAAATAAAAAAGTATTTGACCCCAATACGCCCTGTATTCATGGGGAAGGGTCAAAAAGAATGACACAAACCCATGAAACCAAAAAAACTAAAAAAAAACCAAACCACCAACCATGTGAAACTTGCCTTTGGGATTGGCACTGTGGTGGTCACAGACACGGCACTGGGCATTGCGCAGGGGCCGTCCTGGGACGTGTTCCACCAGTTTGCAGAACATCTCCGGTCCCTTCTCCCCGCAGGTGGCATTGGTGGAGATGTGAGCGTTGCTGGCCAGGTTCAAAATGGCGGGGAACAGGCCTTGAAAGAAATAACAGTTATCAGCCACACCATAAGGCAAGCAAAATACAGACACAGGTATGAGACAGGTCTCTGAACATACAGGGTTCTAGCTTAGAGTCAGAGATACAGAAAAATGCAACAAAACCAATTTATTTTGTGAAAAAATTATCCATACCACACTGACACCAGCACATCTATCGTCATGGCCCTGAGGCACTGTCTGTCCCTGCCCACCGCCTAGGGCTCTACCCACCACAGCCCAGGACCCCATTTCAGCCCCCCAGGGCCATCGGCCACTGCCCCAGCGGTGCCGCAGCAGGGATGGCCTCCAGCTCCCCCCGGAGCTCCCCTCTGTGCCGAGCTGGGCCTCCCTCCCCCTGGCCCACATCCCTGCCTGACCTTGGCCATCCCCAGGGAGATGTCTGATGCCCAGGGCTGGGGCTGCCCCGGTGCCCCCCGGCTGCCCTGCTCCTTGCTGGGTCAGTGAGTGGGACAGGCCCTGGCTGCCAAAACCTGCCTTGACGGACCCCATGGGGAGCCCAAGGTGCCCCCAGCCCTCGTGGCACCCTGTTTGCAATAACCCTGTTATTTCACTCCACATTTGGATGCTTTATGGCTGAGGAACACAAGAGTTAGTAAACTAACTCTTCCAGTTACTAAACCTTCTCTTCACCTTGTGAGAGCTGATCAAAACCAGGACAACTGGCCCACTGCCAGGAGCGAGGAACTGTATGCACTCGGCTGGTGTGGAAAATGGCATTTAACAGGAGCTCTCCACAGCAGCAACACCACCGCCCTGAACAACATGCTCCAGGCTTGCAAGTTTTAAGGACTGCACTTTAGACCTTTGCTCTGGGCTTTTCTGTAGCCTGTGTGAAGCCTAAGGGATATTTTGCTTGCCACTTATTAATCTTTACACAAACCTTTACCATACATTCAAATGGTGTTGCTCTTGTGCAATGGAACGAAGAAACAACAGACTAAGAATTTCAAGATCACTACTACCGGACTTAGTATTTTCTAAAAGGAGTAAAGTTTTACTTTGGCTTGAAGGCAACTGATAAAATTTAAAGAATACTGCATGTGACAGAAAAGTTAAGCACAGCTTCTCAGCCACGTCGCTATCAGTTTCCAAGTCTTTCCTCCTGAGCTAAAAAGCTTTTATTTCTTGCATGGTTATGGTATAACAGAGATACTCCATTTCCATTCAGAAGCAACTCTGAAAAAGTGTAATGATTTTAGGGGAAAAAAAAAAAAAAAAAAAAAAAAGAGTCCTGTGTCTTTAGAGATTAAACACATTGGGCTGAAATCAAAACTAGAGCCTTGGTATGGCATATTAACAGTGCCACAAGAATTGGTACTGTTGCAATAGTGAAGTATTAAAATCACATTTTTCTTCTAAGGAATTCTGAAAACAAAACAAAAACACCCAGTCATAGCTGTGAACGTATATGCTTTTTTCACTAGTAAGACTGTACAAATTCTTTTACTTCATTAATCTACAACATGTATCAAAAAAGTTTGGAATCTTTTGCTTTTGTTAGCTGTCCATCTCAACAAAGCAATATTAAATATTCCTTTAATTTCAAGTGTCTTTGTCTGCCCAGTAATTGCATTACCCTGGAAAGCCTTGAGAAAAGTTTTAGTGCCATTTAAACCTTGACTTCAGTTATTGAAATTGTGGCTAAATCGTAACCCTCTGCAGCACAGCATGAGAAACAGTGTGTTTTCAATTGTGCTATACTCCAAAGTTAACAGGAGAGAGATGGAGTCCAGACTAGGACAGATGCCATCTCATTATAACTACATCTGATGCAGACGAGGATGCTGAAGATATCCTGTTGACCACTTTGGTGAGGTGCTTCTCCCAGTAACATGCTTTCTGCACTTCTCTCACCTCATGCAGTACGGGGACAGTATTGCTCCAGACCTGAAGTGGAAGGCAAAGCAGAAACGTTGCCCTCCGTTTTCGTACTGCACAAGGAAGCTCAGTGGTGGAAGAGGGTACCCTCTTACATTACTCTCCAATGAAACAAAATCTTCTGTATTCAGTATTCATTACTGTTCACATAGGCATCTATCAGCGAGCCTTCAAGAGCCATCCATTACTTCCCAGGTCATTCATTACCTTCGCTCACGTTACACAATAGCCCTCCCATTTCTTTTCAGGGTCATTTTTTACAGTGAAATAATTTGCCTACAATAACCTTCAGTCAATGGACTTGTGCCAAAGGAATAGTAAAGCTCTGAAGAAAAAGTGCTGATGGCAAGTGCTGTGCTGGCCAACCTTCATTCCTGAACACCAAGCTGAAGTCACCATAGCGTTCACCCTGGATTTAGCCTTTCGTCTGCTTGACATCAAGCATCTCACTGACTTCTAATAAATAAGTTGGTTGATAATGGAATGAATAACGGTATGGTAACATTAAGGTTTCATGATGAGTTTTCTGGGTCCTATAGAAATAAGAAAAAAGAACATTTCAATCCAACCAAGTTGCACTGGAATTTTGCCCCAGAACCCAAACAAAAATCAAGAGGTTATTATCTTCATCCTGCAAGGTACTCCATCTCTTCAAATCCTAGCTGATACATTCACTTCTTATTCTCTTTAACACAATCAAATTTTAAGACAACCTGCTGAGTTGCAGTCACTAACTGCAGCGGAGACTGAGATTAGTGTAAGAGCGGATTTATTAAAAAACTCTAAGTGTCTGTGATAAAATAGAAGAGTGAAATTTAATGAGTTGTATCTTTACAGAACATTGTTCCTCTTCAGTCATTCAGCATGTTCTTATGAAAAATCTTTTCGTAAGAAAAGTTAGGTACTCAGAATTGTGAGTTCAAGAACACTTAGATGTTCTTCTGACAAAAAAAAATTTTAAAAAGAAAAAATCAATAACAACAAAAAAAAAATCAACACAAAATAAAGAGAGGAATAAAACCAGCTGGTAAAACACATTAAAAAAAATTCCTCTCTCTTAGGAAGAGATAGGTATAATAAAGATGAGTAACCACAGGATCATCATTTCAATGACCCGTTTACTTATAAACAAGTGACTGTCATCATATGCTGCTATAAAATCCAAGTGGCCGTAACAAACACAAAACTCGAGACCATGTACTTTTAAATTGAACTTTTAGCAAATTATATTTGCATTCTTAAAGATATTGATGTAACTTTTACAGTTAGCTATCTGAAGTCCAGCACAAATGATTGATTTGATTTATCACACTTATTTTCACTAGAAAGGCAGGTAAGTACTATGTACAAAGTCCTCACTGTTTCACTGCTGAGCTATCAGACTCCGTTATCACATTAGACAATTGTGGCTTTGAACAAGCCTAAGAGATCTCCATATGGATCTGTACAGCAGATATACATTCAGTAGATGACTTCTCAGCTTGCTAATCTAGTTTGTTGATTATATCCCACTTGTTAAAACACCTTGCAGCCAACTTTGCACATAAGTACTTGCTATTTCATCTTTCCACCCCATCTCTGTTTGGGAATTACTGTTCCGCATTTTGCAAGAGACTACTGTAGTCCTAAGAAAAGCTGTAAGAATTTTATATTTAAACTCATTTACTTCTAACGGCTGGCCAGCTCTTTTCATGGTAAGGTAAACTCTTTACTCCATTTTTTTCCATCTACTCAGCAGCCCATTTGCCTCAAACCAAAGATTCACATACCACCCATCCAATGCCATAAAATGAATAGCGTATAGGTGCTAATTTGACCTTAAGAAAGAGTAACAACTGGTTCACTTCAGCTCAGCATAAAAACGGAGCACAAGGTTTTCATCAGATGTTCAAGCAAGTTGCTCTCATTTGTAAGGAGTTGGTTTTAGACAGATGCATGACTAAAACTGAAAACTTGAGTGGGTGCTGTCAGAATTGTCATTCAGAGCTTTCCTACAGGGGCAAAATGCCCAAGCTCAGAGTAGGCTGATGGAATCAAATCCCTAATAAGGTGGTCTGCAATGTGGGTATGACAGAATTTGAACACTGTAGAGTGTGATTGTGACAATGCTTAAAGAAATTACAAGAAGGAAGAACCCAAAGGTTAGATGGATTTGCTATAGGTATAGCTCAGTAGGCAGATCTTATGGTGAAGGACACAGTATCAATATTTCTCGAAAAGTCAGAGAAAAGACATGTTCATACAAAGCCAGTTGTAATGTATCTGAATGATGAACAGGTGGTCACCACGCAGTACGCCAGGGAAAAGGAAGACAGGCAAAGAGCATTTACTCTATGTGGTCCTGCTCTGAGGGGGTTGGACTAGATGATCGTTCGAGGTCCATTCCAACCCCTAACATTCTGTGAGGCAGTCAAATTCTATCTTATGTCCTTCAATATGCCTATTGACTCTAATCCTTCAGAATGAATGGGGATAGTTGGAGCATGCAGTTTATTGGAGCAGATTCAAAGTGCTGACAATTTACACAAAGTCATCATGAATTGATGTCCTGGTTTGAACTACAAAAGAACTAATTCTGTTCAGTAATTCTACTTTTCAGTTAAGTCTCTTCTAAGCAACTGCACTTTCTGAAATCAACAGCATGTTTTTCCAGCCCTTGTCCACTCCTAGTAGTGATAGCACTCAATGTTTACAGTTGATACAGTATGCAGAAAGGCTCTTGCTTATACTTGCTCCTATATCAACCAATGCCACTGCTAAATCTTGTACTCCATGTTGGGGTCCTGATAGTGAAAAGGGTTGCAAGCACATAAAAAGGTCACACCTGCAGGGAGAAGCAAACCAAACAGGTGACTCAAAACTGACCAAGTAACTATTCCATCCCATATATGTTATATTCAATATAAAGCTGAGGGATCATGAGGGTCAAGCGCTCTTCTTCAATGGTCAACATCCAAGGAGGACTCCGTCTGTTCTTCTGTCTTTGATCCCAATCCACACATTCCTGCATCCAGTTCCCACCTACTGCCAAGTCCAACCTGGGACTTCCCCAGCGCCAACCCTGCAGCAACAGTGGTGACAGATCCTTGGGAGGTGGGTTGGGTATCGGTTTTGTATATATTTCTTTTTATTTTTATTATCTTTTCTTTTATTGTTATTGTTTCATTAAAGCTGTTTTAGGGTTTTTTTTGCAAACCGTAAATCTCTCCCCAATTCACTCTCCCTTCCCTTTCTGGGAGGGTATAGGGGTTAGAGAGCACGTCATTCATTAGTAGCCCAGCCTCAACCCTCAACCACTGAGGTAAATCATTGCATAAGGAAAAGATGTCTGCAGCTAGGAAAGCTATCCCTCTATGGTAAAGGTTATAACCGATCATATGGCCTACACTTCTTTGGGAATTATTCTAGCTAAACCCAGGGCCTACAGAAGTCAACAAGCTCCTTGTTGCAGAGATAAGTACCATCATCTCCCCCGGAGACTCTGATCTTGTTACAGATATAGATTACCAAGAACCCTGGAAGTTTTCACCAAGGAGAATTTCAAGGACTTGGGACATTTTCAGGGGCTGTCAACTCCCAACTGCACATCTGTTGCTACATTATGGATACACCTGATTTACTGCACATGAGTAGAATTCCAGAGTATCCGTACGGTGGATCTGACATATCCTGGACTTGAACATTTTGTCTAGCTCAGATAGCCTGCCCACATACAGAAGCATCAGTGCACTGCGTAGACATCAGACTTGCTCTCCATGCTCAGACCACAACACATATGCATCGCTAATTGAAATATGGAAACCATATGCGCTTGCACACCACTTAACAAAAGCTTTTGACATCTTTATTCCCTTCCTTATCTTTAAAAAGTATTCTTACTTTAGGA